CGCATACAAGAGCCGAGCTCGATATGTAGCGGAACGGAATGTCTGGTATCATCATCTCATCGAAATTCCATTGACCATAACCGCAAACTGTGCAAGACAAGCGAATACGCACAAAAGCCCGAAAAGAAGCCCCGTATCCGTTAATCGAAATCTTAGATGAGATCACCCACCGCTCACAATGTGGATTTCGGCCGTTAAAATGTTACTCAATCGTGACTTTTATTAAATTAACTTGATACTTTCCACGTTGAAAATTTTCGCCTGCCAAAATAAAAAGCTACATAATCGACAATGTGTTACATGTAATACAATAAAGAAATTAAATGGTAGAAGCAAACGCCATCGCATCGCACCAAAAGACATGGTCGTATTGTCGGCGTCATTCAAAAAATCGTCTACACATTATATACGGACATTCATGCGTGATGCACACAATGCGATACACTATTACCGCATACTTTGTTGAGTGCGGGGAGAGAGAGAGAAGAAAAATCAAACGACACATGGAAAACGCGACACAACTCACAGATTTTCAACTGGTATATTTATAGGGAATTTTTTTGGCATGCAATACATGTGTGTCTATGACGATAACGATCAGAAGAAAGATGCAAACCGCCACTGGTTGCTCGAAGTTATGCAAAGCATAAACTTTCCATTTTTTCCCCGGCTCTCTCGCTCTCTCAGTCATGTTTCTTGGACTGTGTTCTATGGATGAAGGGCGCCTACTTTTGATGCAGTCGACGTACGAACCGTACATCGCACCACATCGATTTGATATCCGTGCAACAAGTCGAGCATTTACATTTTTGCATTCAACAAAACATTTGCAAATTGATATACAAAATATTTACATCAATTTAACGAGGCGAACAGCAAACACACGTCCATACGCACAAATGTGTCATTTGTTGTTTTCATTCGTACGCTGAGCGAATCGTTATTGTTGCTGTTATTAGCTACTTTTTGCTTTTAGCTAATCTTTGTTTGTGCGGTTAAAGCAGAGTAACTCTGCACATCGAGCCGCACATATGGAAAATATAGTGGGACCAATTTTGAAGGTGGAAAACTCACCAAAGCACAACACATAATGTGCATGATGTAAAAGTAAAATTGTTTTCGTGCACCAAACAATTGTTGTTTTTCTGTTGGCAAATGGCAAATAATAGGGAAAAATAACTAGAAAACGGAATGAAATGAGTTTCGTTGAGTCGGTGTTGGATCTATGTCTTTTTCTTTCGGTTGCTTCATGCTGCTCTCAAACATACATCTGCAATTCAAATGTGAGGAATTCGATTCCTCTGATACGTTTGGATAGAAAGAGCGTAAAATTGTATTTCTTGAGCATCACTCCGCGCATTGATGCCTCTCTCTCTCTCTCTCTCTCACTCTCTCTCTGTCTTTCTCTTTGTGTATGATGGTTTTTCGATGCCATTTTCTGTGTTTGTATTCGACCCCCACATCCGAAAATGTGGTCTCTCTTCAACTGGAAAAAAATTGAAAACAAAGACAAAGACAAAACATTTCATAATCATGTGTTCCTTGTGTGAAGTATGAAGGCGTTCGAATCATTAAATCATTATTAATTTATGTCAAATGTCGAAATCGCTTTTTACTTTCATTGCAAGACTCAATTAGTACACAATAACTTCCAGTCGAAAACAAACAAAAAATCAACACATTTCAACCAAAAAAAAAATCATTATTTCTTATATTTGTGTGTGTTATGTCGTACAATGTGTTCGATGGCGCAAATGTTCTCTTATTACATTTGTACTTGTATTAATAAAATATCCGTTACGGTGCACATGCACATTTGTATATCATTCAATATGTAACTAGTAGTTACTAACTACTTCCTGACCTGAAAAAATATTTCCTGCATATGACATTACAACGATTTTTTGATCTAATTAGCTCATGATGAAATGGAAATGATTTTTATCCGGTAATGAAATTTTACAAATATAATCAAAGAGACAATTTTTCAATTTCAACCCTAGGGGGAACTATCATTTTTTTATCGAAAAAATTCATTATTTATTCATTTATTTATTGTTTATCGTATTCGGCTGATGGATCTGCGGACAAGAGTTCGCGTGCAATGATCCATCAACATGCTGCCCTAAGGCCAATTACATTTCACTTAAAACTTGTCATTAATTTCGGTGTGTTTTAGGAGATATTCACTATTATCTAGAGAATATCCACTCATATCCACTCATATTCCCAGATATTCGGTGTTTCTTATTTTGACAGTTCAGCCGTTCTCACCAGCCGCCATCTTGGATTTTTTCTTATCTAAATTTATTCACGTATATTCAAAATATTTTCGAAAATTCTATGAGAAAATATCTATAATATTCAAAAGCATTCACAAAAATTCACTGTTTTTAAATTCGAATGAAGCCCCTAGGGTCAACCATATATCAAAAATCAAAAAGAGTTTTATCGATTTTAGTATATCGGATTTCTGTAATATTTGATTAGAAGCAATATTTTGAGTGGGATCCCGACGAGATCATCTCGTTGACACATTGATTGCTCGAAGCAACATATTCCACAATTTGATGCTGTAGTACGGAGAATCGTTTATATTTTGTTTTTGATTCTGTAGAAAAAGCACTCATCACACACTAATAATAAGCCACTACAAACACAAGAGCAAGTAGTTAAACGTCATCACAAGTCGAGATAAATTATACATTTATAGTTAGTTTTTTTTGTTAGTTGGTTTTATTATAGGTGTCACCTACTTTTGTGATAAATTTCATCGTATTTGTATATGTCAGCATCATTCAAATGTATAGGTTATCCTGACCTGCGATGACGTTCAACTACTTTTGACAATTTACTTTTGTGTGTGTATTCTCGAGAAACTAGGTCTTGACTTTGACTCAGAATCAATAAGCTGGAAAAGAGAAGAATCGCTACAGTTGCTTCTTTACTCACGGCCAATGCGATTTCAAACAAGCATTTCAAAAATCAACACTGTGACAGAAAGCTGAATGTGAAATATGGCTGGATGATTCTTTGGGAGAAAAAAAATGCGCTTATACATGAAATATTATCGAGTACAGCAGGCAGAAAGAAAGAATGAAATATGAATAAGTGAAATGAGTAATAATGCTTCGAAAATCTTTTATTCTAGAAGCTAACGAGAATCGGGAACAAAGAAGCATCTGAATTACGGTTGGATGCAATGATAACGATTGAATCGTGGCTCAAACAATGACATCTGCAAGGAGTTCAATAGACTCTGTAATTAGCATACCGAAAAAAAACGTTAGCTGAGATTTTGCTCAGCTTCATAAATCATGGTATCGTTCTTTTCGCTTTACGAATCTATGTGTTTGTATGTGTGGGTGCGCGCGCAAGTCGAAGCACTTGTTGCGCACTTGAGTTATTCGCTCTGTGTTTCCGTTAATGGTGTTTAAAGTGACTATCAAATCATAAAATCTATTGCAATTTTATATATTTTGTATCGCATTTATCTTTGCTATTTATCCAAGTATGTCAATTGCGTCGTTGCTTTTTCCATTAAAGCAGCGTTTTTTCTCCTCCACTCATACACAGAATGAAGAGATGGAGAAATAGATTATACGTGACTTCTGCCGAAGTAAACGTTGCTTAACTGTGTTTCTGCGCGCACAGAAAACTATTTCTATGTTAAGCCATTCGTTCAGAGTTGATCCACTTATTACATATCGATGACAGATCCTTAATCAGTTGATGTATCCGCTTTGTTTTTTTTTTGGAAGAGAAGAAGCAAAATTAGAATATTTCAGCATCGACAATTTTTTCGGTTTACAAGAAGACACGCGAGAGAAATGTCTAAAAATAGAAACTGTTCAGTATGTAAGCCATTTTGTCGGTCAGAATGTTTTTTCGTTTCCTAATTGTTCTTGAGAGTTTATAATGTAATGTAATGGCATATCAATTAGGCAATACGACTAAATGCCATTAAATTTACCAGTAAATGCTGCAATGAATTACAATGAATTAATAACGGCATCAATTTACTTTGGATGCACTGCTGCTTCGGTGAGATGGGTTTGCCATTCATTTGTAGTACATTTCGTTTTTACACAAATTCCAGCTTTAGTGTGAGTTCAAGCGATATGTGTTCTTCTCGTTTTGTTTTTTTTTTACCTTTAAATTTTGTAGAACACAGAATCAATACAGCGTAACGCAAAATAGGCATGGCGAACAACAGAAAAACACAACTGCTCAAATCAAGTGTAGTACATTACTCAAAATGAAGAATGTTCACGAGCGGCTGCATTAAGCCAAAAGAAACGAAACAAAGCGAAACACCAAAGAGAATGATTCGATCGAAATGTATTTAATGGCGAAGATTTAGGCTAAATGCAGATAGAAGATTAAAATGGACCGTTTTTGCACACAGAAACATACAATCCACAATCAGAATATGTGTGCGAGTGAGCACATGGCGTACGCTTTGAAGAAAGAGAAACACTGCAATTACCTCGAGATCGCAGAGGAAGTATTTTGCATGGATTCTTCTTCTTCTTCTTCTTCTTCTTCGTATTTAAGTAGCTATTTATTGATTTCACCTTGTGCTTTGACGTCTTCAGGTGAAACGTTCAACGGCACAAAACATACCATATATTCTATTGTTTTCGATTTTCGATCGCTTCGATGTTTCGTTGCGTGTATTGGACCAATGGTGCTTTGAGCCAAACACATTGCCATTTTTCAGACGAGTTTGTGGCAGTAATAAAAAACAATGCGGTTATTTAATTACCACTTCAGTATTTGACAATGCTATGGTTATTTTTATGCTTATGGGGCTGTGACTCGTCTTGCTTTTTGGTTTCTACCGATTTTATTTTCGCGGCTCAATGAAATGGTGCAAATATATTGTGAAATGGAATATCTATTGTGGCAGAGTATTTGGGTCCACCTCAACCACATCAATGATATTGTTTAAATTTAATATTTCCCTTTAGTTAGTGATGTAGTACTGTCATTTCGTGATTTTCATTATATAACTTTTTAAAATATTTTCGTGCTACCACAGGTATTAAGACTCACTCCAAAACACCCAGCGAATGGGCCAACATTTGAATGCGGCTAAAATGTGTTCTGGATGCGATCCATCGACTTGAATTGAATACAACAAAGCAGCTTCAAAGCTTAGAGTGAAAACGAAATGGATTGCACATTGAAATTGATAACAGTGCTCATCTCGGTGATATGCATTTTTTGTGTTGATTTGCGTGTGGCTGGCGACGAACAAACGCTATGTCCTCCTCAGAAGCTTATTTTACCATGCCGCTGTGCGCAAAAGTCCAACGAAATTCAATTATGGTACTATTTTGTCGAATTAAATTTAGTAGAAAAAGCAAAATTTCTTTTTTTTTATTCAATTCATGTAACTTTTTGCCACTCAATCGTGTGTTTTTCTAGGTGTTCACACAGCGACTTACCTCGTGTTTTAAATGGCATCAAATCAGCCGCAAAATTTATCGATCGTCCAATCGATGAATTGATTTTGGAAAATAATCAGTTGCCGTCGTTGCCAAGCCGATTTTTCTCACCGTTACGCATAGTTCGATTAATGTTACGCAACAATGGTGTCGAACGTTTGGCCACCGGTTGGCTTAATGATTTGGAATCAAGCTTGGTGGAAATATTCATTGTCGAACGAACACTACGTAGTTTACCATTTGACAGTTTGGTTGAGTGTGAAAAATTGCAAGCTGTCACCATACAAAGTAATCATTTGAAACGAGCACCATCTTTTATGGGGCTATTCAATTTACGGTACATTAAAATTGAGGGAAGTGAATTGATGGAAATGCCACCGTACGGATTTGTTGATTTGCATTCATTGGAGAATGTTTACATCAGCAGCAGTCCAAAATTGAACCGGCTCGAGGTGGGTGTATTCCAAAATTTGGATTTATTGCATACTTTGAATGTGAATGGCAACGGTATCAGTTGGGTTCATTTGCGAGCATTCTCCAATCTGCCAACACTTAATTCGATCGACCTCAGTCACAACGAAATATCCGATGCCGGAATGATTGGCCGGGCCATTAAAGATTTACCCAAACTCGAGGTAAAGGTTTAGAAAATATATAGGAATTATCTACATAGTTATGATTATATTTCGTTATTTCTACGGAATCATAAAAAATATGAATAAAGTCAAAAATATATGTATATCATCATTAGGATTACAAAACCTATTGTATTGTAAAATAAAAAAGAATACAAGTGAAAATCACATATTTTCCATCTTTAATTTAGGTGCTGAAACTGGATCGTAACTTTATCACAACATTATCGGAAGGTACTTTCGTGGATTTGGAATATTTGAAAGAGTTGTATTTAAATGACAACTCAATAGCTGAGATTCATCATGGTGCGTTTCATAAAATGCCACGACTAAAGCTATTGCACTTGGAGAATAACTTTTTGCGGCGCGTTCATCCAGAATCATTTCTACAAACATCTGGCAGTGGTGTTGAATATTTACACCTGCAATACAATGAAATCTCGAATATTGAAGAAGTGAAATCACTTTTGGATGCGTTACCGATGTTGAAATTCTTGGATTTGAGTTACAATAAATTGGAAACTGTTCCATTTGGATCGTTAAGAGGTCATGGGTCACTGGAACAACTTTGCTTGGATCACAATTACATCAGTCGCATCGAACGAGACGCATTTATGGCCATGCCCGGATTGCGGGAGCTTCGTTTGAAAAACAATAGTCTAACCGAGAATACACCGTTACCATTTTGGAATTTACCTGGGCTAAAAGGACTGGATCTATCGGAAAATAATATTTCCGTACTGAATGACACATTACTCATTGGTTTACCGTCACTTCGTCGACTCGATTTAAGCAATAACAAACTGTCTGAAATCGATCCGGCCAGTTTTACGAATAATGCATACCTCGAAACCATTAACATTTCCATGAACAGTTTGGTGGAATTGCATCCAGCGACACTTCGTTTCCTGAATCGCCTATTCGAAATCGATGCCAGCTACAATGAACTGAAAGAATTTATACCGGGACTGCCACGAATTGTCGAACGCGTTAATGTCGAAGGTAATAAAATAACAATGTTGCCCAGCACATCGACAAAACTCTTGGATTTACCAAATTTGCGCATGCTGAATATGGGAGTCAATTTACTGAATAAAATCCCGAAAAATGCCTTTAGCACATTGTATCAGCTAAGAAGTTTGAGTCTCGCTCAAAATCGGCTACGTACAATCGATGAACAAAGCTTCGCTGGGCTAGCCCGTTTGGAAACACTTAATTTACAGGAAAATGGATTGGTGGCGATGCATGAGCGCGGATTTTCACCACTGAAAGATATGCGAGAACTTAATGTGCAAGGAAATCGACTGGAGATCCTTGTCGAATGCATCTCAGAGAATGAACAACTCGAAAAATTCGATGCATCACGGAATAATATCATGGAGATTGCACCGCAAACCTTTACAAATAGCAGGCATTTACATTCACTGGATTTGTCTCACAATGCTCTCAAACAATTGCCACAGAGTTTGGCCACTTTAACTGAACTTCGTGATGTTGATATCAGTTTCAATCGACTCACGATGCTTCCGTCCGAAATAATCACCGCATGGCGTCAGATTGAAATACTCAAAGCGTCAGACAACAAACTGATGGAGCTGCCGAAAAACACATTCACCGATTTACCGAAATTGGAATACTTGGATTTGTCTAGTAATGAATTGAAAATCATTGATTCGGGATCGATGAAAAATTTACCCGAACTACAAGAGCTTGTACTGGCTGATAATCAGCTGGCTGAGCTAGGGGAACGGTCTTTTGAAGATTTACCTAATTTGCAGGTGAGTTTGAAAGACTTGTGATGTTCAGGAGAGGATTTTTTTTCCTTATTTTTGCTTCTATTTTCCCAGCTGATTTCTAATTTTCATTAATATTGACATTTCTCATACGTAGGCCCTACATTTGCAGAACAATTTTCTCCGCTATATATCCCCAAAGAGTTTTTATCATACAAACTCGATTGTGTATTTGAATTTGTCCTACAATAATTTTGATAATATGGAACACATGGGCTTGACTAGCGTTCGAGATTTGGAGGTTTTAGATCTGTCGGGCAATAAAGTGCGTCGCATTGCAACGAATTCACTACGAAACTTGGACTGGCTGGTGGAACTGAAAATGGACGACAATCACATCTGCAAAGTCCAAGGCGAACCATTTTCATCAATGCCCCGACTGAAAGTACTAACTATGCGAAACAATCGAATGATATCCGTCACTGAGCCAACATTTCGGCACTTGCGAGGCAATTTAGCGGTTTTAGATTTGGATGGTGCGTACTCAGACAGAATTTAGCGGAACAATGATTCCGATTTATCGGAATTAAAACCAAACGGAATGATAAATCGGAACAAATGTTCCGAGATTCCGATTTATCGGTATTCTTTAATGTAAAATAGTTATTAAAAATACAATTTCAAATTATCGCATCTATCATTGATGTTCGACATTCGTCGATACAATTGACAGCGTGCAAAAATGGAAACTACTCGATCTCTTTCTCTCTCCCAGCACACTCCGTTCTTGCGATGTGCATGCAATAGTATTGAAAAGAGAGATGCTACTACACGCACACCGCAGGATCGGCCTGTATTACGAAGAGAGAAAGAGATCGAGTAATATACATACAAACAAAGCAGTACACAGTAAGTCAGCAGCACATCACACGAAGAATAGGCGAAAAGAAAGAATGCAAATAATATGCTACCGCATGAGTTATGAATACGATAGAAAGAGAATACAGTAGTTTCCATTTTTGCACGCTGTCAATTGTATCGACGAATGTCGAACATCAATGATAGACGCGATAATTTGAAATTGTATTTTTAATAACTATTTTACATTAAAGAATACCGATAAATCGGAATCTCAGAACATTTGTTCCGATTTATCATTCGATTGGTTTTACTACTGTGTCCAAAAAGTAAGGTGACATTGCATTTATTTTGAAAATTCTTTATTTATTCTTCCAAATCAATTTCATCGCCTTCAAAGTAATCCCCTCCCGATACAATGCACTTATGCCAACGGATTTTCCAATCTTCGAAACAGTTGAAAAAGTCGACTTCAGGGATGGCCCTCAGCTCCGTCTTCGCTGCGGCTTCAATCTGCTCTATCGTCTCAAAACGGTGTCCCCGGAGCGGTCTTTTGAGCTTGTTGAACAGCCAGAAGTCGCACGGTGCCAAATCAGGTGAATACGGTGGTTGTGGAACGATATGAGTCGAGTTTTTGGCGAAATGTTCACGAAGAATGATCGCATTGTGAGACGATGCATTATCATGGTGCAAAAACCAAGAGTTTTCTTTCCACAATTCCGGCCTCTTTTGGCGGATAGCGTTACGCAAACGACGCATAACACTCAAATAATATTCCTTGTTGACTGTTTGACCCGGGGGAAGGAACTCATAATGCACAACACCCCGATAATCGAAGAAAACAGTCAACATGACCTTGATTTTTGAGCGACTTTGGCGCGGTTTTTTTGGTCTCGGCTCACCTTTGGCACGATATTCGCTCGATTGGTCGGTTGTTTCCGGGTCGTAAGCATAGATCCAAGTCTCGTCTCCAGTGATCATGCATTTCGTCTTGTCAATGTAGTCAGAAAGCATTGTTTCACACACGTCAACTCGACACCCTTTTTCCAAAAAATTCAATGATTTCGGTACCAGTCGAGATTTGACGCGTTTGAGGCCCAAAACATCCTTCAAAATGGTATTGACTGAGCCTTTCGATATGCCAATATCATCAGCAAGGTCTCTAATCGTTAATCGACGGTTTTCCAACACCAAATCTTTAATTTTTTGGACGTGAGCTTCGTCGGTTGAGGTTGATGGTCGCCCAGCACGCTCTTCGTCTTCGACACATTCACGGCCTGCTTGGAACTCACTATACCACTTGTAAACATTTTTTTTCGACATAGCCTCATCACCAAAGGCTTTCTGCACCATCCTCAACGAATCCGCAGCAGAAAATTGATTCCGCAAACAAAATTTAATGCAAATTCTTTGATCAACAAATTTCGACATCGCAAAAAACGAGAAATTCACTTTTAGCAGTCCACAAAACGAAGCGTATCTCAAACACTAATGAATATTTTGACGTGTAATTTGGCAGGGATGTCAAAGACAGTCCTACCAACCTAAAAATAAAAGGATTTTTTCAAATTCCCCAGCGCGCTAAATTTTAAATGCAATGTCACCTTACTTTTTGGACACAGTAGTAATTCCGATAAATCGGAATCATTGTTCCGCTAAATTCTGTCTGAGTATAATCACTTCTTAAACTTTTCCGTTTCCAATGAAAAATTTCCATTTAAATTGCTTTAGAACACAACAAAAAGTTCGGATTTGATATTTTTTTACGTTTTCCCCTCTTCATCTTTCACTAGGAAATCCATTGGAATGCAGTTGCAATGTTTTGTGGTTGCGAGCATGGTATCAAGAAACTAATTCGCATCCGGGACCAAAGTGTAGAGATGGAAATCTCCTGACCGATATGCGCGTTTCGAAGAGTGACTGTGATGCGTCGAATGATAATCGAATGAATCAAGTGCTGCTAACAAATGAGCATGGTGATATTTTTAAGCGTCAGCTCGGCTTGGACGAATGTGATACTGATCCGTACAGTGAAACCGAACATATTCCCGCATCACCAATCGAAAGTGAATATTTTTATGAACAATTCATCGATTATCCGCTAAACGATTCGGCAACTGAGCAAAGCGATAATATGCATCAATCGAATCAAAATCAGTCACCATTCAGTCGAAACATGACTGTCATTCGAAATGATACGGTTCTGAATTATGAACAACATAAACTACAACAATTGCACGATAAAAACCATGGAGGATCGTCATTTACATTCTTTGGTATGCCACTGCCTAGCATAAGTAATCTTTGGAGTGGCGGGAATACTGCACGAAAATCTACTTCACGTGCTGACGTTGATGCGAATGGAAAATCGCGTTTAAACAGTTTGAGAAACTATCGACCACGGGCAGGTGAAATTATTGACAGTTTCCAGTTTTCAAACAATATACATTTACCGCAGCCACCTCAATCGTCGTCGTTGCAACCACAAAAGCCAACGCCGGCAACGCTTAAAGGTGATAAAGAGCCAACAAATATTCATCCTCCTCCTCCTCCAAATGGCCCATTTCCACCACCGGACGGTGCATTTTTGCCACTACCAAATGGAGCATTGCCACCACCACCACCAAATGCATACCACACGAATGTGTATTCTGACCCACGAATAGAAAAGGGTGGTTTTGTTCCAATCTTACCGAACGGTCGCAAAGGATTCACACCGATTCAAAATCCATTTTCATCAAATGACACGGAAACGGAAGAAGACACGGGTGATGTTCAAGAGACTGTGAGCACTGAGCTCAAGCCAAATGTTAATTTGGAATTTGATGACAATTTGGATTATGTGCCCGATAATAAATACCCAGTGCTGGTGCCGACTGTGAGTGCTGATCCAAATCAATCGATTCAGAATGCTCCTCAGTCGCGTTTCAATGTTTCATCGTTGAAAAAGGGTGAAATTATAGCGCCAACGAAAAGTTCAAACGGAATTTCTTTGATTCGTTCGACTGTTGCACCAGCCACATCAACAATAGTAACGTCGAAAACGACACGACGAACGGTTACCGAATTAAATACACATGAAATTCTACCTGATATCGATCGTAACGGACTCGACACCGAACAAGCTAAACGGAATATCCAGAAGATAACTAGCAAAGCACCGAAACATCCTGCACTGCCCCCATCAACTCAACAAAACCCGGATGTGATTGTTGCAACAACACAATTTTTCCCCACATTCATGCCGAATTCGAGTGATGTAATCAATTTATCAAAGAATCGAATTCCAACGAATGGAACAAATGGAGGAAATGGTATTGGTCCCGGTAGTGCACTATCAGCTCTAGTTGCACCTGGAGCACAGCAAGGCATATACCGTACACCTCCGGGTAGATCGGTCATTACGAAAGTATTTAATAATACGATACCCACTTCAAGCTTTGCACCAACATCAATTCCAACGCAATGGACAACTAGCAAACCGATCACAACCTCAAGCCCAAGTACAACTACAACTACCACCACCACCATCACGACCACTACTACTACTACCACTCCTAAAACAACAATAACGACCACAAAACAACCGATTGCACATAAATTGCCCACCGCTGAAGAATACCTACGAACAACATCACAAGATAATAGCATCAAAGAAAATACAACACCAAACAGTCAGTCAAACAAAACGCCCAATTCAAATGATCTTGAAGATCAGGCGACACAATACAAGGGTGACATGAATTGGTATTATAGCAACTACAATCGAAGCATATGGAAAGAACCACAACTTGATTCTGGCTTGCATCGATTTAGAACCCATTCCGGAAGCAGCCGTTTGGCCGCATCACATTTTACCATCATAATTTTTACTTTAATTTTAGCCACAACAATTTTAGATAAAGTTTAAGAATGCTGTAACATAGAAATGAATGAGACCAAATAAATAAGCTTCAATTTAGAAATGAAATCATTTTTTTGTGGAATTTTGCTTATTATTGACATTCATTTCTTGTATCGAAGAAGGTAAATTTTACGCGCCAAATTTCCATTTATTTGAATTTGTTGAATGAAGTTTTGAATTGAAAATAAAGCTTTTGCCATCTCCATTCGTGGCATGTGGTGCCATCTCCCGAACAATAGAACGCTATCCATCGAGTTGAAATGTAAAGGGGGCTTAATAGCAAACTTCATACTAAAACCCGATTGAAACATTTTATTTTTGATTTAATATTTTCGAACACCGATGCTCATTAACAGAATCCAATGCACTTTACATTTTAAAATGAAAATGGAAAGAAATGTCCCAAGTAAGTTGAAAGCATAGCTTATGTCGCATATTGAATATTTTACTCAAACTGAAATTGGTTTGACGTTTGGCAAAGGTATAGCTCAATATAGCGATATCTGAAGAACCAAGAGAAAAAAAACATACAAATTTGACAGTCGCGCATCTCCCACATACATTGAAAATGGGCCCATTTTCAGTGGTGTGCCCGTGTGTTGGTGGCCCTAAATATAAAACATTGCACACTTGCACTTCAAAAGACTTTCAAGTTTGTTTTTGTTTTTACCTCGAAATTATTTTTCGTTCAGTTTAAATCGCTTTGAATTTTTTCGTGCACAGAAAAACAAACAAACAACAACAACACGCTCATTCCATAAAAATTAAGTTTTCCACAAAACGATTTGAAGGAATAATCAATTCGCTTGGATGATTATTTATCTGTTAAAATAAAACAGGAAAAAAAAACAGTACGTAATGTGCGCTGCGTCCAAGACATACAGCAAAACACCAAACTGAAAAGAAATTTTCAATTATTATTGGTTTTTTGTGCGTATATTGTGTGAATATATGCATTTTATGTGTGGAGGACAACAAAAATATTAGAATTCTATTACAACGACGATACCAACCAATATTTTGTGTAAACCATAAGAAAGAAGGAAAAAATGAGTGGTCTGAATTTGTCAAATCAGTGACGACGGGCAAAATTCGCACCAATTTTTTTTATCGCACACACATGTGATGTATATTTTATCTCCTCTTTCGCCTCAAAGAAAAATCTGGTTGGAATGTTGAGTTTCAAATCAAATCTCGATATTTACGTGATAGTTTAGGCTTAAAATTGTCAATAAAATTGTATTTGATTTGCAGATATCGGCGACATGGATTTGGAGTCACCACATATTGCTATACTGCAGGATTTGAGGTTGCAAGCATTTGATGGTATTCGGTTTGCATCGTACCGCACGGCCTCCAAATTGCGTTACATTCAAAAATCAACAAATCGTAAATGCCACCCACAGCTACTTAATTGCATACGAATGGATATTAATTTTTTTTTCTGGTTTTGTTCATTTTTCAGTGCATCTGGTGGATATTTGGAATGTGATTGAAGCATTCCGTGAAAATGGATTGAATACGATGGAGCCACATAGTGATGTGAGCGTTGCTCGTCTGGAAACATTGGTATCCTCGCTCTACCACAATTTGAACAAGCGATTGACGACCGCCCAACAAGTCGATTCCAAAGCTAGCCTTCTTTTGAACTGGCTTATAGCTGCTTATTCACATGATAATACCGGTAAAATGCGGGTATTTTCGATCAAAGTCGCTCTGGCAATCATGTGTGCGGGGAAGTTAGTCGATAAGCTTCGATGTAAGTTTCTTTTTTGTTGAGATTTTATGCAGTCCGTTGAAGTGAATTGACCAGTAAAAATGTATACATTCTCTTATCATTTTTAGATATATTTTCCCAAATTTCCGACGGAACTGGTCAGCTGGTGCATAGCAAACTAGGTGATTTTTTACGTGAAGTGTTAGCAATCCCAGCCGCGGTGTATGAATCACCGACATTCAATTACAAAGACAATTTGGAATGTGAATTATTTTCACGTGATACAAAGGTGTCGGTTAACGATTTTATTAGTGCACTCATCACGGAGCCAGGACCATCGTGTTTGGTATGGTTACCATTGTTGCAACGCTTTTCAACGGTCGAATCAATTGTTCATCCAACCATTTGTTCGGCGTGTCATCGTGAGAATTTCAGTGGTTTTCGGTATCGTTGCCAACGGTGTAACAACTACCAATTGTGTCAGGATTGCTTTTGGCATGGACGTGTCTCGCAAGGCCATCAAAATGATCACGAAGTGAAAGAGTATACAAATTACAAATCACCAAGCAAACAAATCGGTTACACATTGCGCAAGAGCTTTCGATGTGTCCCCGAGAAGCCAACGCAAGCAATACCAAGATTCCCGGAAAAACCGGAAAAAACGTTGAATCTGTCACACATTGTGCCACCATCGCCATTGCCATCACACAACGGATTCTCGGATGGATCCGGTGGCATGCTTATACCACCATTCGATCGAGGTAGTACATTAGATTCACGTGGCACATATGGCCGATCGCTGGATAGCTCAGGCCCGGGAAGCGGCAGTGTACTACATCACTATAATGTTGGTGGTAGTTCATCACTTCCCAGATCGAGCACATCCAACGATGAGGAACACCGACTGATTGCACGATACGCAGCTCGATTGGCTCAAGAGAGTCGATCACCAAATGCGGCTAATGCCAATGTTACAATTAATCCATTGAAAAATGATAAAAATTCACTTGGTTCTGACTCGTCACGTGCACAACGTGAACTAATCGCCCAATTGGAGGCTAAAAACAAAGAAATTATGCGAGAAATTCAACGACTTCGACGCCAACAAGACGCCGAACAATTAACACAAGAAAGTCCAGCTTTAATGACGGAATTGCGGGCACTGAGACAACGCAAAGGCGAACTCGAAGGACATTTGGGACAATTGCAAGATTCGAGGTAAGTTTTTCTTTGTTTAAAATTTGTTATAAAATTCGCATCTTTTTTGCCTAATTTAACAAAAATAATTTTCTACGCAAAGGCGACAATTGATGGGACAATTGGAGAGTTTGATGAAAATGTTGAAAAACCAGCAAACATCATCTAGTCCTCGATCGACGCCCAATTCGAGTTCTCCGATAAATGATCCGCATACACTTCAATTGCATGACAAGCTACTTCACTAGTCGATAAACTTTGATGTAAGTTTCTTTTTTTTTCGAGATTTTATACAATCCGCTGAAGTGAATTGACCAGTAAAAATGTGTACATTCTTTTATCATTTTCAGATATATTTTCCCAAATTTCCGACGGAACTGGTCAGCTGGTGCATAGCAAACTAGGTGATTTTTACGCAATTGTGAAACGCACCAAACGAAATTTTTGTTTCTCCAGCTGCTTTTGGAAAGTGTACATCATTCAAGGCTTGTTATCCATATTTCAAAAAAAATTCCAAACTTCTCGCAATTCGAACAGTGGATATTGGGGCAGTATGATACATGCACATACTACACTGCAGACGGTCGGCAAGAGTCCACCAATTCCGCCACAACCACAACAGCCAAATATGAAGCAACCAGATACACAAACCAATTCAACAGTAAATCACCAATTGTCATAGCCACAAGGCACGGTTTAAATGATTAATCCATTCCTAACGAAAAATAAAACCGCCGCCGGCGCTGAGTTTTTATGAATTAATTCACATTTTTACGCACTTAAAGATTTTCACGTTCTCGATACCTTTCAACTACGGTACTCTAATATTTATGAAGAAAAAGGATAAAAAATAACACATAAAACGCATATAAACCCAATTCCAAATCAGAAGAAGAAATAATTCCAAATTATGTAAATAAGTTCTAGAAAGACATAACAACAGATTTGTTTAGTAAACGAATTAACAGCCAACCTAATCATTCAGTTCGGATGGCAATTTTTCATTTGATGCAAACTAAATTGTCACATGATATTATTACATCACACAGATTTCCAAATTATATTTATTTCAACAAAACAAATTCGAAAAAAAAGAAAATGAAAAAAAAAGATAAATTGATCGAGATTATGGGATCGATGAGCTAGTCTAGTAAAAATCGTAGATAAAGTTTTTATAAATTATATTAACGATTTGTATAAATTAATGTGAATGGATATAAGACATTCCATAAGGAAAGAAGAATCGTGCGACGAATCGCCACACTTCCATTTTTAATGACGAAGATGTGATTGAAAACGCAGAACGAAGGAAACAGACAAATTGATTGGTGTCAACAATGACAAGTATCCCGAAGTCATACTGAACAGTGGCGAAAAACAAAATCAAACAATATTAGGAAAGAAAATGATAATGACGAAAAGTGTCCACATTTTTACGGACAAAACCACTTACCCAGTCAAAACTTAGAACTTCCATAACGTTTAGATATACAAAAAAAAAATATTTATTGATTTGTGTCGTTTTTGTTCTTTGGTGTTAAATTGTTGTCTAACAAGGCACAGATTAAAGAAAAACAGAAAATTTTATTACATATTTTAGTAGCCGCCACCATTGAAACTCCAAGCTTGTTTGAGAAAATTGCCATTCATCAGAACATTCCTACATATATATTCAGCGAACAGAATCTCATCACATTGACCATTTTTATACAGTTGACAATTTACCCATTGATGCTGGATTTGACTTGCCAATTTTTTTCATTTTTTCAAATATCCAATTTTGACAATTTACAAATTTCTACAAAAAATGATTTTTGACAATATGGAATGAAGGCGTTCAACAAATCCAAATTTATATACTTCAATTTAATGCATTTTGAGACATTTTAACTGTGGATTTTTCCCGATAAATATTGGTCCGAAAAAATGTTTACATTGTATTTTTTATCTAACAAGTGGAAAAGAAAAGTTAATTTATTAATTTTGTTATTTACAATATTTTTGGTATTTCTTTTTAAAAATTAAACTAATATTTTATTTCGTCACTAAAATTGTCGCTTGTACGAAAAAAGAAGATACGAACAAAAATTTCTTGGTATCAATTTGAATTTTATTCCATGTATAAAATTATTGCTTGTTTTGGAAAAAAACATACGGAATATGTTATAAGTATATCGTATATGATGCAAAAAAAAAATTGAATCCTACAAAATTGAACAAAAATGTGATGATCGACATTCCATAGTTTTGACATTTGTTCCGTTCACCATTTTTCGAATCATCGAAGCTCTTAAAATATCACTATTCATCAGATAACAGAAAGGAAATGCGAACGAAAATTGCTTATGATACCGGTGAAAATCTAGATAAAATACTATTGATAGAGAATTCGGCATTGTTTCAACGGAAATTGAGGGGAAAATCCGATATTTTAACATTTAGTGGAATTAACATCGCTTTCGTACTTACATCAATTACTCATCCATACCGAAAATTTAGCGGATAACTTATATTACAAAAACAAAATAAACGACTCATTGAAATTTCAAGACTTTCTCATTCAGGCAGAATTTATGAAATTAAAATGACAATCTTAAATTGATTATATTGTCAAACAAACACACCACAAATGTACTGAACAGAAGAAAAAAATAATGAAGAAGCCAGAAAATCAAAGAATGAATAAGATAAATTATACAATACAATTATAAATAACTTACAATTAAAAACCATACATTCATTAATAAAATTGAATGCAAATCTATTAAAACCGCTGAAGTTTCTTATTTGCTATGATTTATAACGGTCGTACGTATGGCAAATGTGTCGATGAAATGTGTAGTTTCATTCAAATTCTGTTTCAAATTATGGCATTAATGTAAAGAATCGATTGATATTGGCACGTCCCGAAGCAAAAAACTCTTTGCAAAATCGAATAATGCTTACCTAAAAACACCCACTAAAGTACTCCTGCGCAGTTAACATCAACCAGATGGGGAGTCAACTTGCTTCAACGCAACTATCCCACATGATCGGGATAGCCTTTAATAACTAATGTTACATTTGTTTTTTTTTGTTTGCAATGTGCTGATTAGACAGCATGATCAGCTGGCTGCTGGTCGTACTCGAACATTTCTACATCATTATCCACGATGGCGACAGCAGCAGCGGTTGCTCTGGCGGCAGCAGCAGCGGCAACAGCAGCGGCTGCTTCACCAGCTTCGCGCCAATACCTATTGATCGCCCCTGGTATCGGAAGTCCCAGTAATGTCCTGAACAATTAAACAAATGAACCTTCTTAAAAAATCATTCAATCGAAATTGTGCGTCAATTAGTCTTACCTTTCAGTAGAATGTTCTTAGCAGCCACGACGTCACAATGCCAAATCACAGAGCATTTGAGGTTTAATCGCCAGTTTTTGTAGTAACATTTTACTTTTGGGAATAAACACTCGTCCTCTTCCGATGCTTCTTCGTTCATGGCGCGTTGTAACTGTCGGTAAATCGATAGATCCGTTTTGCCCAACTTTGACACAATTTTCGTTGGCAGCAATGTTCTGGCGTCGGGTACGCATCGGCATTTCTTGAATCTGGCTGCTTTGTTCTGGTTTTCGAATCGATGCATACATCTTGCGTCTGTTGCGAGATGTTCCCCATTCGTCCACCAATTGTATGAAACAATTTCGGCGCTTCTTTATTGACCTCAAAGTCTTACGAACCCCTGGGCAGCGCACGTGCTTCTTGATACTTATTGGGCTATCAGGTGGTATTTCGCCATCAGCACCAAAAAAGAACAGAGTCGGTTTCTTATCGGTCACCTTATTCACCCATTCGTCGACAACACTACTGCTCTTGATGTGTTTGTCCAAGGCGAGTCGAGTGTATTTGGCAGTCGAGTAAGCGCAGATTCCATGCTTCATCATCTTGACTCGGTGTTTGATGTAGTTCAGCCACATTGAACCTTTTGGCGACGGCATCACTGGATACAGCTCACGATTTTCTCTGTCTGCGCGCTCCTTTTCGACGAAATTTTTGGTCCATCGCTTTGCTTTGGCATTTCGCACCTTTTGACCTGTTTGCCAGTGGAATTGCTTGCTCGACATTACAAAGTTGGTCTGAAAAAATAAATAGAAAAAAAGGTATAGTTATTGAGTTTTGGCGCTTAAGCATTTTCTATTAAAATACACACAACTTGTTCGAATGTATACAAAACTTACTTCTTTGCCAGTTTCAATGTCGTGTGTTGTTGTGGTATTCCAACTTCGCACACCTGAATCAACGCCCGAAAAATTTTTGATTGTGCCATCCTCAATCTTCTGAATAATGCGAGATTTTTGGTCGATTTCTTTGTTAACTGTCTTCTTTTTGGCCGAGTACTGGAGAGACACAGAGATTCCATCGGTGTTTATGGAAAAGTCAAACTGCTTTTTGGCACGCACGAATCGTCGAATTTTTCGCATGTAAAAATACTGATTCCACCAATAATCTCTGTCCCGGTTGAAATCCTTTTCTGGAATAATTGTTGTGCTTGTTGTTCCTTTTTTATTCTCAATTTCCACTTTCGGCAATAATTTTTGCGAAGACAACACCTGTCGCATGGATGGACAATCGATTTTGAAGTGCGTACGCCGGAAATCACACATCGGCACCACTACTAAATTTCGGATGAATGGCCGAAAATCTGGGTTGTCGAGCATTTGGCTGCGCTTGCGTTTCCATTTTCCTTTTGTCTTTTTTCGCTTTCTTTTCTTACGTTTGGGTCGGCGCTGATGTGGCCACTCCGAATTGTACTCTTCTATCTCGCGCTGCATAGATAGGTACATTGGCATGGCCTTAAACCAATGTTGTTTGCTAGTCGTGAGGTCATGCAGATCGATATCTGGAAACACATTCAGGTCGTTCACCATGTCATACAACACGCTACACCGTTCGAGTTTGTTTGGATCGCGAATTGGCACTTTGATGTCTTTTTGTTTGATGATCAGATTCACAACACTTGCGATGTCACTTGGCAAAAATTTCTCTGCATCATCTCCTACGTCTGAATTCCATTGGAAAACCTTCAGTTTCAAGTACTGGGTGATGTGTTTGTTAGCATGCGTTGTTAAATTGGTGACGACGTTATCTGTGTACTGATTGGTCAAATGCTTAAGGCCATTGCAGAAATCTTTGTTGTTGGGCCAATCGATACGATGATAGTCGTCAAGACCTTCGACAATTGCTTTGAATTCAGGATCGATACGTGGCAGCTCTGCTCGTGGTCCTCGTGGCTTTGTTCCGCTTGGTTTATACCTTGACTTCGGTTTTGGTGGCTGATTGTTGTGCCATAGCACTTGTTCAAAGCACAGTTTGATCTTATCTTCTCCACTTCCACCAAACAATGCGAAATTATTGTTCTCGACGCCTATATTCAAAGGCCTTTTGCCCTTCAAACAAGAACAGCAATGTGCCCAAAACACAAATGGAAGTGGCTTGCAAACTCAGATCCGTCATTTTGCTCATCAATGCTTGCTGGTATTGTGGGCGAATGATTGTCTTTAGCGCACATTTGATCGTCGTAATTTCTTCGTCCTTCGTTTCTCCCTTCGCTGGAATGGATGGCTTGAAACGATTCGCCATTTTCCTACTGAAAGAAAAAAAAACACATTCGATTTAGTTTAAAAATGAAGAATATTGAAACTTAAATTTAATCTGTTCGAACGAAAACAGAACGAGAATTTATCGCCTTTTTTGGTATACACACTGATGCAACACACAAAAGTGACAAAAATCTTCGAATTGATAAAATGGCAGTGATTTAGAGAAGTGATGAACTGTTTCTCTTCATCTCTGAACAATGCAACCAATTCATATTGGGTATCACCGCTTGAAATGAATTTTACCACGTCACGCAACAGAATTATGTACTGCAAAATTATTGTGAAAATCATTATTTTTTCCATAAAATGTAATATTACTGTTCAAATGTTGAAAGTTAAATAATTATTAGGCTCGTTTAAATATATTTCACGTTATAAATGGCTTATATTACGTGCTATGAAACAAAAATGAATTTCACAATAAGAAAACATTAAAATGATTAAGTATACGCACACTCAAGTCACTTGAATTCAACAATGTGCCGGATCAAATTGATACAAAACGCACGTGTATCGAAAATAATATGAATTATAAGCGAAACCATAGGAAAATTAAAACATTGAATTGGAATTCACACTGCTGTAGTTTTTATTGTAATGAAATGTACGATTGATTTGTTGACTTGGTGTTTACAACGCCAAATGTGTTCTCGGTATGAGCAAACCTGCGATTATGACATTATGACATTTCGAAAACCAGTGAAATGAACGTCAAATGTCATAAGGCTCGGTTCACATCAATAATACTAATTCAATATTTAGACATTAGACAACTTTTGCTTCAAAGTGTTTTTTGCTTCGGGACGTGTCAATATCAATCGATTCTTTACATTAACCCTTTATCACATTTCGGTTCCTAAAGTAACCAGATACGCCAGACGCTATAGCTATGAAACCACTGAATATTTTTACATTCTTGTTTGGAAACAAATGTAGGGAAATGAACTAGCTTTCATTTGATACTTTACAGGCTACAATCGGCTGGCTGAATGGAAAGTTTTTTCTGTTCATGTACTGCTGTAAAAAAAATGCGAAATTATAGCAGAATTCCACATTTTTCCTCCTCTTATCTTGTGGGTCTGTTCATTCTTTTCAATTGTCAAATTAGGACTCGTAGGACCAAAACACATCAATTTAACTTTCTGCATCATTTGTTTTATGAAATTTAATTTTTTCAAGCTTTTATAGTGATTTAACACTTTTAACTCTTTTCCGATTTTCTCGACAAATACGCAATTTTTCAAAAATCTAAGTATGAGGTCTTTCTCTATTTATCGTGGCACAAAACATATATCAAAATGATTCAAAAACAAAAAATTGTGCATCAAAGGGTTAATGCCATAATTTGAAACAGAATTTTATGTTCTTTAAATTGAAAAATACCATTTTTCTCTTTTCAATTTCAGGGAAACACTCTACTATACAGTTTAAAAGATTGGCCCAGTGGATTTTTATTCTACCAGGACAAATATAGATTAGCTCTTGACCCAGCAGTAAAAGCAACTACGATCATACCGTTTTCATAGGTAGTCAATGCAATGGATTCAAAAAAATTGAAGTTATTATACTCAATTAATTCATATCAAACATGTGTTTTCCGATGGCTGAGCATCTCAGCATTTCGTAAGCTACGGATATATCTGAGCATATCGATGACGCATACTATATAATACAGTGGCGTGTGTTGCTACGTGCAGCCGCAACGACTCGACCGAAGTGTGTTCAGTTGATGTGGCTGCACGCAGCAACAACATACACATTCCGGTCGAGTCGTTGCGGCTGCCAGAGCGGTGAAACCGAACTGTCATCATCAATTACAACGGGGCTGTCAGAATAAAGTACAAATTAAATACACGCCATACAGTCTTAAGTGCACCTTCGTTGAACCTACGACTTGTTAAATTTGAACGACTATTTTTGAAAAAGACAACGTATTTTCGTGAACGTATATTATTCATGGAGTGAATAAAAAAGATACAATCAAGTGGAAAATAAATATGTGTGTAAAAATATTTTGTTTCTTTCTTTCCTATTTAAATGCAATGAATGATTTAGATGACTCATCCACATTATCAAATTCAGAAAAATATTTCCAACATGGACAAATTTATCTAAGTTTTCTTTAGATTTGCTGATGTTCAAATGATTTTTAAAATCAATTAATTCAATTTTATGATCCATCTCATTATTTACGTTCTCTTCCTACAAAGTGAGCTCAAATGTGTTTCGGGAGCCAAAGGAATAAAGTGGCTCCTTAAACACACAATGGCTTTGTTCCACCGAGTGCACAAATTTGTTCTACTCATTGAACATGTCAGTAGATACTTAACCTCACTTCGTCAATCAAAAACAAGAAAAATGTTAGCAAAGAATTTTCGAGCAAAAAAAAGAAAGTTCATATTCTTTTTCGGTATTTTTTCAAACGTTTCTAAAATATGAATAATGTTTTTAAAAATGGGTTTTCATATTAATACGCTAGGTATATTTTTATAAATAATTGAAATATTTTTTAAACCAGAATGCTTGAAACATGTACTCATGTACTTATGCATACTTTAAGCGCGTTCCGCAACGAATGACAACCGACTACGCGGTCTCCGTTGTAGTTTGACAGTTCGGTTTCACCGCTCTGGCGGCTGCACGTAGCAACACACGCCACTGTATTATACAGTATGCGTCGTCGATATGCTCGGATATATCCGTAGCTTACGAAATGCTGAGATGCTCAGCCATCGCAAAACACATGTTTGATTCATATTTCCAAATGAATGAATTCAATTCGAATCAATTCAGTTTGAAAGACGACAAATTTCAGAAGAAAAATCAACAAGCAGGTACTTATTGTTTCGTCTCCACCCTCTGTTCAAATAATGTTATTTCGTTGATGTGTTTGTTTAAAGCATAATGAGTACAATAAAAAATTTCTTACTATACCAGAAAATAAGCAAGAATCAAACAATTCAAATTGAAATACAATGTTTCGTAAAAAGTTTGTTCGAAATTTAGAAAAACACACAGAAAGAAACCGATGAATTTCAAAAGATGCCATGTTTCAAAAATGGCGCCACTGGCGAATCTTTTGTTTCTCTCTCGTTCTTTTGACGCATGCTCACTATTCAACTGTCAAAAATAGACTTTGTCAGACGTCAATAAGGCCGAGTATTACGCAGATTTTTTGCAAAGTGGTGTTGAATATTAGCTGAGAGCTGTGTATATGATTGTGTGCGTGTGCATTAGCCATAGTGTACAATGGGAATATATTGGGAAAAAAATTCTTCGTGTATGTACAATAATAACACGGAACGTATATTTCTAAAATGACGACAAAACAATAGTAATCACGTATTGCTCATCGACTACTACTGAAAACTCTTAAGAGCAAACGAGAAAGAGAACAAGGAATAGGAAAAAAAAAATACAAAGTCAAAGCATCTCTTGGCTGAATGAAAACATATGAATTTTTTTGGTATCAATCTAAACAGTGAATGGTTCTTTTTTTTATCAGGGTTTACTTATGTAAATTATACTCTTCTAAAATTGTCTACATAAATTGAATGCATTTTGTTGGTTTTGGCATTTGCAATGGGGTACAAAGAAAATGTGTAAGCCAACAAATAAAAAGTCAAGTTGCATTTGTGGGAAAATTACGTTTCTATTTTTCTTGTGTGCTTGAAATGTCACTCCGTGCATGAGTGCGTTGTACTGCTGTTGCAAAGTTGTTTCTGTTTTTTTTTTTTGCTATGCTTAAATTGATGAAAAGCGAAAAAAAACCAATTGAATGCAACTTTGTGTGTTTCATCGTTTTAGATTTGATCGAGAGCTAGAGCCATCAAAGGAATTTGCAAATTAATTTGTTTGTGTAGAAAGGTGATTACGGATGGCGATTGACTGAAAAAATTGAAACAAAAAAAAATTAAAAAAGAATCACACTTATATTACAAGTGTAGATGAAATTTCCTATTTCAAACAGAAACACATGCGTCGAAAACGATTTCAAGTCTAGTTACTCGTGTAAGCTGTGTGTTTTTTTTTTGCTTTTGATTTATTAGTGAAGTTGTAGCTAAATGTGTCTAAATGAATGCAAATAATATAAATATTTTCATTGCCACACTCTTCAAAACAAATGGAAAAAACTGAGTCAATTTTCGTAATAGCATACACAAACGAATATTATCGTCAAATCAACAAACTTGAGCAATGATTTTGCTTGTATAAATCAATGTGCAATTCACATTTCTAATTGAGAAAGTGTCAAAGTGTTTCTTTTCTGTTTTGTATTGTTTTGTGTGACGAGACGGTGCGATTTTGTTTCCTTATGTCGTGTGTGATTAGTTTCGTTTGATAAACAAAGAAAACCAACAACAGCCACCACAAAAAAAAGTAGCAATCATTTTTGTTGGACGTTTGGGATCGGAACACGTTTTAGTACGATTTAATTTAGAACGGCTACGTTCGGCTGTGTTGTATGCGTGTGTCGGGGCGGCCAGTTGCAGCTAACAAAACATGGATTCCCATCAAAATAGCAGCATTGTGCATGTGGGCGAATATGAATACAACACAAGGGATTTAATTGGACATGGAGCCTTTGCCGTTGTCTTCAAAGGCCGTCAACGAAAGGTATAAAATAAAATAACAACTCGAATGACTTCAATATCAAACAATTTTCTCCCTCTCTCTGTCTGTCCGTGAGGGTTTCGAATACAGCGCATTTTATACGCTTTCATCACATTTTTTTTCATATTCATTTAATGAAACTAAACATTCCATCGTCACAGTTGCCGTATATATATATATATATATGCAAAATGCGAAAGAGTTTGCGTCGCAATGTCATTGACACTCATTAAATCAACGACGAAAATTTATAAAGGTGCTTACATTTTCCCCTCGTTTTGCTCGATTAGTTCGATCGTATAATTTGATTTTTTTTTCGTTTTTAAAACCAGTTTATCCTTACAAATTGAGTGCTTTTGTAAGAGTGTCACCAAATCAATTCAATTTCTGCTAATGCAATGATTCAATGCCGTTGCCACACGCGTGCCGCTAATAATCAGGCCGCCTGGTCTGGTCCAAAGTGCCCACGAATGAATTTCAACTGAACTCTGTTCAAAATTGATTGAGATTTAAGCTTGAAAATGACGCAACAAATTAAAACACATGAATGAAAGAAAATAATTAATTATGAAATTTCCTTGTTTTTTTTTCTCTAATGTATGCTATTTTTTATTGCAGCCACCCAACAAAATTGTCGCTATAAAGAGTATCACAAAGAAGAATATCGCAAAATCACAGACATTATTGACAAAAGAAATAAAAATATTGAAAGAATTGACCGCATTACAACATGAAAACGTTGTCAAGCTGTATGATTGCAAAGAGACACCGACATCCGTGTCGCTTGTCATGGAGGTAAGTACTAAAATAGCATTTCAGTTCAGTGTTCAGATTATTTGTAATAGGCATTCATATAAAGTGAACCAAAGGCAACGCCGTAATGCTCATCCCATTTATAAACACACAGAAAAATACAATTAGACAACACAATGATTGATATTATTGAATAGCATCACGTTTATTAAACGTCTCATCCACCATTTTCGATGTGAAAAACAAAAATAATAATCAAAATATACACATTCAATTTACTTATCATGGTTGCTACCCACCGAGAGAGTGTTTTCTTTAAATTTAAATAATTTCTTTATTTCAAATGTGCTCAATCGAGACCATCTCAATCCCGAATTTGTTGCTTTTTTGTGCTCATTTAATGTATTTTTAATACAATTTTGAGGAAAAATAATCATTACAACTAAATCAAGCATAAAATGCTCATTGTTCACTTAGTTTTATGCATACAATTTGGTTCAAGCTAAGGCTGTATAGAAAGTTTACTCAAAATATATATATACCTATATAAATTAACTTAATCTTACAAATACAATTATCATTTGTATTTGCTCAAAAGAGAGAGAGAGAAAAAACAAACAAACACAAAACCATCACTTTGTCCTAGAGACCTATTACGTTCTAACTAATTAATATGTCATTAAAAGGTCTTGAATGTTGAAGCGTAACACAATAAATCGCTTAGAAAGAAAGAAATGGAGTTGAATGTGGAATCGAAATGATTTGTATAATTTTCTTAAACTTTGTTCAATGGAATTTCCTCATGAGGTTGTACTCGATCTTCGGTTTCGGCCCGGTTGTGATGTCGTCGGCAGCATTTTGTTTTAATGCCACAACAGTCAAGTCGACAAAACACACCGATCAACAGTGCAACTAATGTCACTGCAATAAGCCCTGTTGCAATAAAAATCAAAGAACGTTAAACTCAAAATTCAGTTTAGGGTTTGCAAGCATAAACTTTGAACTTTTGGGAAAAACGAGACTTACCAATTAGAAGCATGTAGATGATATGTTGTGGTACATCTACTTTGGCTTGTTTCGTATCGTCTTTCTCCGTCGAATCCGTGCCATTTATGGCTTTCTCAGTTTTAGTTTCCTGCGAAAATGTGCTGATTTTCTGCGACGATGCTGGCTCAACAACAGCTGATTCTTTTGTTTCCTTCGTCATTGTAGCTATCACTGGCTTCTGTGCGGTTGTCTTTTTTCGTTGCGGCTTCAATGTAGTACGATCCTTATACAAATCTATTTGAATACACACATGTTATGAGTCAATGGATAATACTATTCAACCGATTTGAGTGTAACTACCGTTACTGTCAATATCGAACGATGAAAGTGTTGGTTGGCCATAGACTATGATGCTCTCATCAAATGTGGATCCAGATGTTAGTAGGAAACAACTGATATCATACGTCTCTTGAGTCAAGTGTATTATATCAATTGATCCTAATTCTTTGCATAAATTGGGGACAACGTCTCGCGACAGTGTTGGTAGATTCATTACCCGTAAATTAACCAAATATTTGAATGCTTTTACATTCAATGCCTGAAGTGAATAAAATCCAATTCTTATATATTCACTTAACAACAACAAACAAGAAGAAAACAATCTCATATGTCTTACCGAGTCAAGTGGATTGTTTTCCAAGTACAATGAAACCAAAGTGGATAGATTTTGGAAAATATTATCCGACAATTGAGTAATGCTGCAGTTGGCCAAGTTCAATGTTTTCAATTTGTATTGAACAATTGGCACATTTGAAGCGATCACATTTTTATTGCCCGTTAGAAATAACGTGGTCAATTTTCGAGCCTTTGAAAATTCAGTTCCATGCAATGGCTTCAGCACATTTGACGATAAATCGATATGTTCTAGATTTGGTAACTGAGAAAATTCCTGCGAAAGAAAGCAAAAATGATTATTAAATGCTCACATTGAGTGATAAAGTAAATAAATTCAAAATATGCAAGTGAAAGGCACACTCACATAAGTATTGACAATTGTTTCAATTTGATTGTCATTCAGAGTTAATTGTTGTAGTTCACTATATTTGATCAGATCACTGACATTAAGCGTCGTCAATAAGTTATGACTTAAGTTAAGTTGAACCGTATTGTGTGGGAGATTTTTTGGTATTTGCACTAATTTTTGATGCGAACAATCCACAGATTTGAAAACTTCCGAACATTTACAACCCTTTGGGCATTTCGATTCTTCTAATTCTGAAAGTGAAATGAACAATTTAGTTAAAATAAATGCAGAAAAAACTATTGAAAATTAAAATAAAGGGCTAAAGTTCTTGTTGTACCTTGTGTGGTTGTTTCAATGGGTATCGTTGAGAGGGTTGTGATGTCTTCTATTGGTGTTAGCGTTGCCAATTCAATTGTTGTGATCGAACCAGCCGATATCTCACTCGTGTTCGGTATTGATGCTGTAACCTCTGTGACAATTGGCACCGTAGTTTCCTTACTACTTTCATTCTCATCATCATAGGTGTAATCATTGTCCGTCAATTCATCGCCTGTCAAATCATCACTTTGACTACGAAATACCAACAAATAATAAAATCGAACCACAAATGAATTAATTAAATAAAATCGAGACATATTCTGAATTGAAATCACATTTAAGCGGCATTCTTGTCTAAATGCTATAATTGTGCGCTGCCATATGCAAGGTTTAAATTTTCCCATCCGCTCGATAGAGCCTCCATAGATTGAATCGAAAGAGTTTTTCAAAAGAGACTCTTTCAAAAGAATCTTTGCGAAATTTTTCAATATTCTGCTATAAATTACGGCTGTAAACTATATTCAAATGATTGGTTTTGATTTATATTTTAATACTATGAAGAAAAAAAACTAAAAAAATTTATTTGTATTAAATTTTATTGAAATTATTGATTTCATTAAAACGATCATTTTGACAATCGTATAAATGTCAAGTATGGCATGAAGTTCCAGTGTATGTTGAAATGTCACAAATCATTGTACGACGATTGTCAAAATATGGATGAAACGAAATCAATTATTTTAATAAAATTTAAAACAAATCAATTTTTTTAGTTTTTTTCTTAATAGTATTAAAATATAAATCAAAACCAATCATTTGAATATAGTTTACAGCCGTAATTTGTAGCAGAATATTGAAAATTGTTGCAAAGATTCTTTTGAAAGAGTCTCTTTTGAAAAACTCTTTCGATTCAATCGATGGAGGCTCTATCGAGCGGATGGGAAAAATTAAACCCTGGCCATATGCAAATTGCAATGTTCACAACAAATTGGACTAATTGACATAATCAAGAAAAATCAAAGCCAATGTGCGCTATTTACTTTCATACATTTTTTTGTTGCTTCAATGACAGATAGAGAGAGAGAAAAAAAAAACATAAATTCCGTACATATCGTCCACTAATAATGACCAAGCCCGTAATTAACATAATATTTTCCGAAACATAAATCAAGTCGCACCAAAATGCAATTAAAATCAACGTAATAATATTATTTGTGAAACAAAACACACTGAATGATTCATTATGATTCAACTACAACATTTTTTTTTTCTATTTTTTCAATCTTGATTGATATGTTTGCACACAGATTTCGGCTCAATTATTAACTTTTTTGTATGAACCGCTTGGAAAACTGCACACCACTGCTCACAATGAAATCATAGTTCGATTATTTTTTCAAGTCCGAATTCGTATATTTCGCCCTCATTCAAAGGCTAACCGCATTTTCGATGAGATCGTTTATTGTTATAATCAAAAGTAATTGCGATATATTACGTCGTATCGACGACGAACGTCATCTCGTTATCAAGTGAAATCAAACTCCATTTTTTGTTTTCCTTTGATCCGTGCTTGGGAACAGGTGGGCAAATTGTTCGATGTGAAATGAGTGTGATCGCGTTTCATGTTAATAAATAAATATTGTTTCTTATCAATAACGATTTAAAATCAATGATCGTGAATTTAATATACACATAAGAAAACGAGTGACAACAAAAAAAGAAAAAAGAATAGCACTCGAGTTGTCGAGTTATTAGTAGCTTATATTTACCTTATTTTGAGTACACATAGTAGCAAGATGATCAACATACAACGCCTATTCATGTTGATGTATGTGTGTGTGTGATGATTAGATTAATGGAACACAAATTTACGAAATACTCAATCAAATTGATGTCGATGACAGTATGCAAAAATCCCAAACAGCACCACACGGAATAAGTATCTAACTAAATTGGGGCGCTTTCCGTATTTCGCTTTTGAACTTATCGGCCACTTTGTTATTTTTTTGTTTGTTATTCCGTCAAATTCAACTTTATACACAAGCCGGACTTTAGACACATCCAAATATAATTTGAATTATAAATATTACTCACAATATTCGATCGACTGCAATGTTTTAATTAATATTATTTTATGGTTTGTATGTAACTCTTTGTTTGCCTATTATTCATCGGTTGTTCACATTGATTGGTGCGAAAATTGTTTGGTAGTGTTATTTTGTTCATTTCACTATATGTCGTTGCTCTGGCTATTTGGAAATCGCCACTTTTCTAGCCCACTTCCGTTTTGTATGTTTTTTTCAGTCTTTATCGTTTGCTGTGCATCCACGCATTGATTTTTCATATACCAATAAATCACCAATTGACTGACTGACTGTGTGATTTTAGCTGGCTGAGCATCCAATTTTCCACCTTATCGTTTTGTTGTCAATCTGAAAACTGAAATTATCATTATTACTAAGTGTCAAACGCTAAATCATATACACAATGTTTTGTTTTTAATTTGGTCAGCATTGTAAACATTGACTCTAAATTGAATTTTAAAAAAAGGTCTCTACGTTTACAAATTTTGATGATTATCTTTTCAATTGAAATTTGAATGAAATTTTTGTTAGTTGTCTCTTTTTCGTTAGTATGTGTGTTTCAGTGATATAGAGAATATGTACGCAATCTGGAGGCAAAGTTTACTTTAAAACACACCACAATCTCTGTAGTACTTCTGCACTCTTTTCGCTGGGCGAAATGAATACAATTCACACTATGTATCTATATACAGTGACATAACGTTAACTGCGTGCGGCAATTTTTTACGCTATCTCTCTGTTTCTCTTCCATTCTCTTTCTCTTGATAAATGGAGCTGATAACTCTAAAATTTTCTCATAAAAATCGATTGATTGACGCCTGACACAACTTATTTGCTCATTTCATACAGATGGAATTGGAAAATCAGTTTAGGATTTTTACTGTTCATTTCCCATTAGTTGAACACTCATTCAAACACGTAGTTCGAGCAGTGTTTGCCTTTTCATTCGTTCAAACATGCGTGCCCAATTATCGATTTGTGCTTGTAAACTCACTTAGTGTACGTTTCTCATGTTTTTACTGTAGTTTATTTTTGTCTGTGTGATTCCCATTCTAAGGCATGGTCAGCCGTTAGTAACAAACTATCTGATCGTTGTACTAACTATGTTGTCGTATATACTTTTTTTGCGGTAATCAAATTCAAAGAATGATGTAGTTGAATGTATGCAAAAATAAAAATTTACCGGGCCCCGAATAATGCGCAAACGATGTCAAAAAGCCGGTTTACACTCATTCAAATAGTATATGTCGACGAGACGAGACACAGGCCGACAAACATAATATCGTTCACTTGCAATGTCAACCACAGCCGCAATCACACATAGATTCATTGATTCAAGACTTCGCATTTATTTATTTTGTATATTAAATGGTCAAAACGTTCTGCGCTTACAGGCAATTAGCTATGATTGAGAGAGTCGAAAAGCGAAATGAATCGGTTAAATTGCCGCGATGATAATGACGATGACGGCTAATTGAATCTTCATATTGGAATACAGATTTTGGAGAGGATTTTGATAACATACATATTACTGCTTGTTTAATCGAGCAATGAACCTGCTTCTCTACACACTTTGAACACATAGCGTCGATTATAATCAATGACTTATGAATGTGATTGAAAGAGAGGTGAAATGCAATGTGACATACACATACGTACGCATACAACTGATTCTCGAGAACAATTATGCGTTTGCAGTGGCGCGATGCAAATTATAATTGCTAAAGCGTACAATTCATAAGTTCTTGTATGACATCTTGTAAATGACTGGTACGGCAGCAGAAAAATATGTACGAGCCTGGCGTTTCGAATGATTAGTGATTAGGAGAGGTCAAAGCCTCTTTTTTTCTTTAGAAATAGCTAAAAAAGGCGGTCATTGTAACTTATCAATTTTCAACCAAACAATGAATAATATACGCCAAAGCCTAGATATATAAAGAGGTTTTAACTCGTTAATAAATTTGGAACAACACGAATCGGTACGAAAAAAACAGTTTTGAATTTAATTGGTTTTGTTGTTGTTTTTTGCGTTTGATATTCTTATTACGCACTTTGAACTGTTGATTTTATGCACCTTTGACCATTGAATCATCGACCGAAGATTTGCTGAATTTGAATGTTTCGCTTTGAAAAAAAAGAGCAAAAGCCCAATAAAATACATGCGTTAATGTACTCATACACACTATTGCCTCATTTCGAATTTCACCATTGGTCAAAACAAATCGCTTACAGAAAGCCACACATTTATTGTAAATTACACTTGAAATTTTACAGAAAAATAAAGAAATTGCCCGCTTTGGTTGAACAAATCGAACATATCAATCATAACGACTTTTTTACTTGCTAATGTTGCTGTTACCTTTGCCCTGACCGAAATGCGACCAGTAGCAGTTACGTTGATGATTCTCTATTACTATTTTACACTAAAACGGAATATTTGCCGAATTAAAAATCTAATGAATCGGTTAGAGTTGGTTGGCCGTTTTCATCCGAAAATGTATGAAATTACGTTGCATTGTTCGGATATTTCATGGTTTTTTGCAAAAGAAAAGTCTATGGTTCTACACAAAATAACCTCAACCGAAATGAATAAATCCAATCCGATGAAAAAACATTATTGACGAAATACGGTCTTCATCATCGCAGTTTTTTTCTTCTCTCTTTCTCTTCAAATATACACACTTCCACTTTCAAACACTGACCAAACACAAATTTTTACTATGGAGTGAATTCAAAAGAAGAAAACACACTAACGAAGCGTCGTTCACGAAATTTTATGTAAGAGACAGAAAATCAGTAATGACGTTTCTGCGTCAAATTCAGTGGAAAAATGTGAGTGAGTGTGAGTGTTTTGGTGCATTTTGTTTATGGTTTCGAATGGTGTGTTGTATGGGTGCCAGATATGTGTTGGAGAGTCAGCTACGACCGCGACAGTACACTTCTATTCAACGCTACTATTGTTGTTGTTGCTGTTTCATCGTTTTAACAGTATGAGCATGTTCACGAACACACACTGCAATCGAACACACTACATTTACACACTATGAAATGTCGTTCTGGTAATGCTATGTATGTATACAAGCTCGTATAGTATACATAGCAGAGGTCGTATATACATTAATCGTTCGTGAACTATTTTATACTATAATTTTCTGTCTTGTCATTGACATGGAAAATACAAAAATCAAGTTTTATATGTATAAAACATACGTGGAATCGATTCCATGACGTTTCAATTCAAAATATTTACGAATGCTATGGACAAGGCTTTTCTGTCCGTTGTATTATTGCGAACATGAATTATACATGGCTGTTGGTTTTAGTATATTTAAAAACTTGACACAAAGTTAAAACCAAAGAAAACAAAAATACCCGATTCATTTAATGATTAGGCAATATATATCCTTTGATTCACTTGAGTGATTCATTTTTGTTAAAGAAAAACACTGAATAAATCACAACACACACCACATCATAATCACGGTGATTTGAAACATTAACGTATTCAATTTGTAAATATCTATCCTTGGAATTAATTTAAATCCATTCTTGTACTAACTTTGCATTCATCTACTTTGTTTGCACGGTATCACTGAGCTCGAATAACAATGCAGTAGCATAAATCTACTATCAACGGATATTTTACACTCAATTTTCAATTACTCTCGGTCTATCTTTCGCAACCATTAATAATACATATATCATGACTTCCTCCGTTTTGCGACTTGTTTATATCAATTTCAAAGTTGTACACATTGGGGGAGAGTGGGGAAAATCTGAACATCATCAAATTTTGCCGCAAATGAATAATTTGAGACATGCGAACAACTGTCATCGTTTTCTTTAAGTCAAACCTCATATTTCCATTAGCACCCGACGCGTGTGCACCTGCACGTACTGATAGCTCTGTACAGCATCGTGAAAATTTAATATTGAGAATGCCTGTCTGCATTGATTTCACAACATTTTTTGAAGAACCAACTCAGATTAATATGTTTATAATTTACACCATTAATATTTCGACGCACAAAAAGAATTTTACATGATATTTCATTGAGTCATCCAAGCACGATTATGTTGTAAACCTTAGCGCGTGGAGAAATTACATTTCATGCAAAATTTTGACAAATTACTCATTGCAATTCATGTCCATTTGAAATGCACCAAAATGATTGGCATCTATTTCACAGGCAACAATTACAAATCCGACCAATAACGATCGCCATTTCTGAACTTTTTCCTTATTAAAATTAATTCTTCTGTCATTGCCTAGATCTCATTAAACGATTTGCATCAAAATTGTTTCAGTTTTCTATCCATTTATGAATTATTTTCCGAATTTCCCCACCATTTTTGAAAATCGCAAAATCAAGGGTTTTCTGCCAAGAGGGTACATTTTTTCAACCGATTTGAATTTCAACAAGCGACAAGGTCCAAAAGTTAGGTTTTTACATTTACCAAGTCGTACCACTTTAAAATTGGGAAGAATGTTAATTTTTTAGCATGCTTTTGAAATCTTTCGATGTGTGTCTCGAATTTCCCCACCTTCCCTATGATATATCGCGTATTTATCTACTGTGTGTATGATTGGGTCACGCAAGCACGTTATTTCAAACGTGATATGTATGAATGCTCAAGATATGTGTATGAAGTTAAAGATTCAACACAAATGCCCAAAACTATAATCGTGTTTTTTTATCATTTCAGTACTGCAATGGAGGTGATTTGGCTGATTACCTCACAACGAAGGGAACTCTTAGCGAGGATACGATTCGGCTGTTTTTACGTCAACTCGGTAACTTCCCCTTTTGATATTTTGACAACGACATCAACTGTTGGTCTAATTTAAAGAGGACATAATTTTTACGGTTGATATTCTGTGTAATTGCTTTTTTTATAGCCGGTGCGATGGAGGCTCTTTACAACAAAGGAATCATACATCGTGACTTAAAACCGCAAAACATTCTGTTAGCTCATAATTGTGGCAAAACGTTGCCAGCACCATCAAAGATTGTTTTGAAAATTGCCGACTTTGGTTTCGCACGATTCCTGCAGGATGGAAATATGGCAGCCACACTTTGTGGATCTCCTATGTATATGGTATGGCGTATTTTAATGCTTCACATAAAAACAAAACCCATTTCTTATGTCCTTTTCCTACTTTATGTATTTCCCTAAATCGTATAGGCGCCCGAAGTCATTATGTCGCTGCATTATGATAACAAAGCTGATTTATGGTCCGTCGGTACCATCATTTTCCAATGTTTAACCGGAAAGGCACCATTTCAAGCACACACTCCACAAGAGCTTAAAATGTTCTACGAAAAAACTCCAAACCTTGCACCAAAGTAAGAAAACATCGAACAAATGAACAGTTTTTTTCATTATCGATTACTCAACTCATTTTTATATCATCAGGATCCCATTAGGAACGTCACCAGAACTTAGTAATTTATTAATGGGACTTTTAAAAAGAAATGCCGCCGATCGCATATCGTTTGAGGATTATTTCAATCATCCGTTTATGAATAAGGTTCAAACGCGGTCTGCACAAGCGCCAATCGAACAACCCGCATTCATGGTCGGCGACACATTTACACCGCCCAAAACTCCAAGCCCCACACAAATGAAAACATTGGGTAAACATATGCGATTTAATTTGAGAAAAAAAAATGAAACTGCAATTACTCATTCGGATTGTGTTTCCTTTGTCTATGTATGAATATATAGTTGCGACTGAGGATTCCAATATAACAATTGCCGAAAATAGCACACATAGCGAGTCAAGTAGTCCAGATAATACGAACTCTGATGACTTTGTCCTAGTTCCAACCAATTTACCGACAGATCCAACAATACTAAACTATGAACGAAAGTAAGTAATTCTTGTGGGATATGTCACTTTGAGTTGAAAGTGAAAACCTGATGGAAAGTGAACCAATAATTTATTAGCGATTAAAAATAAGAAAAAAGTAATCGGAGATAGTGGAGTAAATATCTAAAATGTTGTAATTTGATATAAAAAAAATTTCATAGCCAAGTAACATTTATGTAATGCTTTCTACCGTTAAATTAAGTGATGCTTTTGCCCACTTCAGTGGTGCATTTGACCATTAATTCACATACAATCCCGTCCGAATCGGATGAAATTCGGGTATCATCCAACTGTACGCTACACTCGAATCACATCCATTTGTGACGGTAATAATGAGTGTGAAAACTAACTGACTGACTGAGAATTATCTATGTACAACAGATTTGATCGTTTTCATCTTTGAACCAATTGAGAAATCAGAACCGTTGTGCAACATTTTCAATTGATTCATAATCGTTTTTATATCCTTCTAATTGATTTGTTTTTACCGTTTTTTTCTACTTCCATTGTGACGTTAAAAATGACTGAAACTACACACAAATGCGGGCCTTAATTCGACCGTTTACATACGCTTGGTAATGGATGTATTTGCGTTAACAATTGTTTTTGGCTATAGCCAAAACACAAGAGCGCCACCAACATCAGTGCAACAATCACCGGACAATGCTAAGAGAGCTTCGCCGACATGGACCACAGCCGATACACAATCTAGGCCTAGTAGTTTGAAAATTTCTGAACCGAAGCCGGTGCCATTGCCATCGAGTGTACGGCGTGCAATCAAACCAGCATCTTTACCGCAAAAGAGCACTTCGAATGTAATCCCCCGTTCGCAACCGATCAGTATGAAACGGTCCGACCAACGCAATAGTAATGATCCCAACAATGTGAACAGTACAGCAGCAACAGCACCGTCTGCCATTAATATAAGCTCGATATCGCCGCCAGCCGTTCAATTTGCGATCGGTTCACCACCGTTGGGCAGTCGTCGGTCAGCGTCTGGCGGATCATTGTCTGAATCACCACCGGTAGCCCCATATCTATGGCAAATCAGTCCCACGACACAACAATCGCCTCCGATCAGACAATCCTCGTCCACGCAACTATTACAACAAGGTAAAATGACACATTCGCAACGGCAAACGTACCTTTGTCTAATCTTGCACATTGAATTTTCAATAGCCGGTGAAATATCACGACATTTAGCTAGTGAGGCCTTAGCAGATCACGCTTTTCAATGTGCCACAGGCATGTGGAATGTACCGTGTACGTTCAATGCCCCGGATTTACCAGTTGAAACTCTTTTGGATCGGACTCATAATGAAACTTTGGCTAAATTAAACTTTGTTATCGCACTATGTGATTGCATTGTTGAAGTGGCTGACGCTAAATGTGCTCCACTCTCCGCACTCATGTCTGCCGAAGCTAATTCAATGGCTCCGCATGCACCGGAAAACTGTAAACGGTCCGAACGCTTAGTTTTATTAGTGAGGTAAGTTAAACTCGTCAAAATGCACAAATTAACACTCATCCAATCGATTGGCATTTAAAATCGTGAATCATCACTTCCAGAGCCCTGCAATTGCTATCATCCGGGTTAAATTTAGCCATAAAACAAATAACCGACGGTAATCTTAAGCCTTCCGATAATGTGAAAAATGGTGAGTAGCGAATAATCTCTTTTCTACTTGTAATAATGGGAAAAAATCAATGAGAGAAAAAATAAACGGATTCATTTTCATTCTTAGTTATCACATCAATGAACTCAAAATACAAAATGATCTTGATGGAATCGAAAAAATTGAATGGCTCTGGTTTGCTGCAAAAAGCCAATGCTAATAATATTACCGCCGATAAAATCTTGTATGAATATGCGATTCAGATGGTAAGAACAGTTTTATTGTGGTGATTTTTCCTTTAATAATTTAACCCATTCGATTTATTCATTGAACTGGTATTATTATTTGTGCTATAGTGTCAATCAGCTGCGTTAGATGAATTATTTGGCAAGCCCGGAGTTTGCTTTCCACGATATCAAACGGCGCAAATTTTATTCCATTCGTTGGCTCAACAGACCGACCATCCGCAAGATAAAAATATTTTAGGAAAATGTGAGTTTTTTACATTTCTCTAAACCCTACTAAAAATCCAAATGAAAGTGTCGCCTTTATTTATTTGTCTAATTCTTAAACATTTCTTTCGGTTTGCAGATAAAGAAGCAGTCGAAAAGCGTTTATTTGTCCTACAAAAACAAGGGCACAACATTTACACTAAAACCAATGACTTTTTCACGTAAAAAAAACGTTTCAGGATTCATTTCAGCAAATGAGGTAATTTAATGACATTCAGCATCGAAATGAGGAGCGAAAACTTCATGTGAATCATTTTTGTCAATTACAGAAGAGTACGCAATGTGAGCGATCACAGACTAAAAACGGATATACTTCATACCCATACCATATATTTATATGAAATGAAATAAAAATACAATTTAAAAATTGTTCGCCAACCCATGCGGCGTACACGTTAACATTAATGGTTTATCTATGTAATACATACACAAAGAGAGAAAAAAAATGTAAAATTTAGTGAAAACAAAATTTAAAAAAAACTCATACTGTATATGCTTAACAGCGTGGATGCGTTCGTGCGACTGTTACAATTATCTTTCTGATGGTATGCAAATACATCAGCATCTCAACATCATCAGCAGCCAAAACAAGAAAATTATCTCAGCTATTGTCAAAACAAAGAGCATAATGTTTTTATTTCGCTTCATTGTAATTGTCTCCCTGTCTCAACTCGATTTGGCTCTAAAATTAGCATTTTACACGTGAATTAACATAATATTGCATAGAATCAAAGCATCAGGAAATGTATCAAAGAATCATTTTTTTATTATAATTTTTTGCAAAAAAAAGAATGTAAATGAATATATGAAATAATAAAAGTATCAACTCAACACCGAAATGCCATTTAAAGTGAAAATTGTTTTATTTTGACGAATAATTTAAATTAGATTCACGTGAACAAAGTGTTTGCGTATCCTTTCTAGAATTTCATTGTTACATTTGTCCAGTTGTTGTGAAATTAATAAAACAAGGTAGTGTTGAAGAAATTTTTGACGTCTATTCTATAACGATGTGCAGATATATCTATAGTGTTTGTATTGCAGGTAAGCAACGTTCTATTGTACACAAATTGGCATTCAGGTATTGTATTCGTGTAGTTTGTGTATAGATTTGGATTGAAATTTTTTTTAAGGGAATTCTTTATTGTTGGCGCAGCATATTCTTTATTGCATTCCAGAATAAATAAATTTATTGGGTCTGGGAATTAGTTTTGTCGATTTTTTTAAATTTTCAAACATTTATTTGAATACCAAAATGAAATTACATTTCAATCAAAATATTGTCCATCGGAAGCGATGACCTTCTGCCACAATGTGGGCAATTGACGGATGCCTGCCTTAAAAAATTCCTCATCTTTTGAGGCTATAAATGCATCGAGCCAATTTTGGATTTCTTCAACTGAAGAGAACCGCTCTCCGTCCATATGGTTTTGCATCGATCGAAACAAATGGTAGTCGGAAGGAGCCAGGTCTGGGCTATACGGGGCGTGAGCCAAAACTTCCCATCCGCTATTTTCCAAGTAGTTTTTGACCGATTTCTCAATGTGTGGCCTAGCATTGTCATGTAGGAAAATCAATGTCTCTTTTCTGGTCTCCCATTTCGTGCGTTTTTCTTTGATTGCTTGTTTCAAACGTATCAATTGTTGTCGGTAGAAAGGCCCATCGATGGTTTGACCACTTCTCAGCAGCTCATAATACACCACTCCCTCCTCATCCCACCAAATAGACAGCATTACCTTGTCGCCGTGAATTTCTTGTTTTGGCTGTGATGTTGCTGGTTGGCCGGGCTTAACATACGATGCTTTGCGCTTGGGGTTATCGTAATGAATCCATTATTCGTCACCAGTGACAATTCGATACAGAAAACCTCTTTTTTTGTGCCTTGCGAGCAGCATTTCGCAAGTCACTAAACGCCTTTCAGCTTGCGCTGGCGTCAATTCATGTGGTACCCAATTTGACAACTTGCGAATGAAACCAAGGGCCCTTAAACGATATCCAACAGTGCTTCGGTCAACATTCAATGCTCTGGCAAGCTCATCTTGAGTTTGACTCGAATCTTCATCGAGCAATGCCTCCAATTCCGCATCTTCAAACTTTTTTGGCTGGCCGGGACGTTCCTTGTCTTCCGTGCTAAAATCACCACTTTTGAACCGTGAAAACCACCGTTCACATGTACGTTCCGATGGAGCATGCTCACCATAGGCTTCCACCAACATTCGATGCGCTTCAGCCGCAGTTTTCTTCAAATGAAAGCAAAAAATTAATGCTTGCGGGAAATGTTGCTTTTTCGGTACAAAATTTGACATATTTAAGGCGCAAAAAAAAATGTTTATCCAAACTTCGATGAAATGATAGATGATGATTTTTGTAGTTTGACACTAGACCACTCATGTGAAAAAGAAAAAAGTATTGCCCGATACAACCATGCAAAGTTACGCCATCTTTTGAAAAATCGACACGATTAATTCCCAGACCCAATATTAACAAATATTTCAATTTAATTCAATTGTCGTGGTTGGCATCACTAGTTCGGTTTCGAAAAGCCGAAGTTGAGTGAATACGCGCAGTTTGTAAATGTAAAAGAGAATCATATGCACAAGAATGACTAAAATTGACACTGCGACGACGGTAGTTAGTGCGTTTTCCGGTTTTTCCCAATTTAATAAAGTATAAATAAATGGATCTCCGAATCTGAAAAATGAAGTCTAATGGTAATGGATATTATTACAAATTTCACATGTTGCTCACTCGTTAACTCCACCGCACGAATAATAAATGTATGAAAACACGGCAAAGCAAGCTCCGAAGCACATCGGCTGAATAGCATGGTACAAACTCATTGGGTAAGCCACGATAAGAAAATCTATGAACATAATGACTGAGTTCAATGCATGATTCATAATGGACGATAAGCTTATACGAGTTTTGGCTGCAATCGAAACAAAATTTACACTTATTGATTGCGATAAAATTAATTATTTAAATAATATCTCGGTCCTTGTCTCGGCAAAAGAAATTTAAATGAATTTTTTCGGTTTTCAAAGAGCCGTATGCACTCCTTTTCAACCAAATTTATCGTAGAAATGATAGAGTGTATACAATGAATAATTTGTAAAATAACAATAATAACTCACCATCATGTAGTATCGCCCAATAAACTATGATGTGGCCAATGTAACATTATGCAGTGCCCAGTAGATTTTGAATGAAGGTGGCATTTCTTTGTTTCTTAGAATAGTTGCTATGTGATAAAATATCGAAATAAATCACCTGAACACAAAGATCTTGTCCGAAAAATAATAAATTACCTCGGTATTCTGTATGGAAATACCAAATAGAAACTAATGCAGTACCATAAATACCTACTATCATATTGAGTATGATGCCCCAATGCGTTAGATATATGAAGAATAGGTCAAAACTGAACTCCTGAAGGTGGGAATATAACGAAATTATCACCATTGCCACAAAAATGGCAGCAACTACCCATCGATAGAAAAAATAGAACGTATTTTTCGATTTTGGCTGCCACTGTGATCGTACCATCGAATCCACAGGATCATAACTAAAACCACAGCTGTGAAATCTCAATTCTTTTTTCATCACTTGCATCACCATTTTTTAAGTCGATGTGTTCAATTTCTTCGTTGGCAATGCACTAAATGCCTTATTCTATTTTTTTGAATGCTAACACATAATTTAATGGTTTATGAAACCATTACTAATCCAAAACAGTTATCTATAAAATGGCAACAGTTTCGCCAGAAAAACTCATATCGGTACTAAAGTACATACCTAGGGGAATATCACGCTCCTGAATCCGCCTGAATCTTGTGAGATATTTGAGATATTTGAAATAAACATCAATTGTATGAAATATTTTCGAATATTTCGAATAAATAAATCAGATTCTTGTGGATTTTGGAGATATTTGAGATTTTTTGCATTAAATACGAATAAATACATTTAAATATCATTCATAATCACAAAAATCCACAATATTCCGCCGTATTCACAAATATCCACCATATTTCATACGACAGATTCTTAGAGATAAATTGGATTTTTTTGAAATATTTGAAATAATTTAAGCGTGATGAGTTTCCAAAAATGAAATCCGCCACTTCAATTGTCTTCGATTTTACCCGAAAGTCGATTTTCTCTCATTCATTTCAGTTCCAAAGATACAAACCATTGATAAAACCATTGGTATACCGAAATTTGAAAATTAAACTCCATTTTCTACAGAGAAAGTCAAATATTATTTTCAACCAGCGTAAGCGATAGAAACTTGGTTGCAAGTATAAGAAAATCAGGTATTACCTTTCAAAGAAGAAAACAAATTATGCGGCAGTTTCTGTTAAAAACTTAAACCTCTGAAAGTAGTGCGAAATAAAAACAAAACGTCCAATATTTCCTCTTGTAAATTTGTATCCATTTGATTTATTTATTTAACTTAAATTAAGAATTCAATTTGATTTCTTTACACATTAATAATATTCTTTTGCTGTTATGGCAAACAATTAACTTTGAAGATAATTTTTTTTTATTTATTTTTTTTTTCTCGATTTGATATTCTGGTACGCTCAATAGTATGTAGTAAATAAAGTCACATAAAAAGTCATCAGCAGTCTAGAGAAAGTAAAAAAAAGATCAAATAGCGAATAAAAATCGATATCGCGCGGGGGAGGGTTATCGCGTGCATTTTTTGCCGAGAGCCTAAACACTAACATACGCACACAAACACGCTACTCAAAGCAGAGACTAAACCGAATTTCTTTTTAGTTACGCACAGGGAAGAATGGTTGAGATTCATCATCTCAGAATCTCATTCATTCTTCCCTGTGTGTAGGAAAGGAAAACAAAAAAGAGATGCCCAGCTTAGAAGTGTCCATCAATCTTGAATAATCGTCCATAATTCCAATACGATTACGAACGAAAAAGAAAATAGTTTGGAAATTCCGTTGAAGCAAAAACGAAAAAAGAAAATTAAGGTTAGTTTTCATCAAATTCTTTCGAAGCACGTTTGAATTGCGTGAGATTTGCGGTGAATAAAATCAAACTAATTAAGTGCTTGTGAAGTGCTTTCCTACTCTCCATTAGTTAAATCTGTTGTTTTTAATGTTTGTTATTATTCACTTGTCTTTGGACTATTGCATTTCGCAGCTGTCTTGTAATTATATTTTTTGTTGTTGTTGCTATTCAAATATTTGCTTGGTATTCAAACATTTTATAAAAATTATTAAAATTATTAGTTATTATTCTTAGTTTTGAAAGTGATGTAAAATGGAAAGAAAGAATAAGTTCATCCAACAAAACTTTGTTAACTTTGTTTATTTTAAATTTAATTTATTCTTATCAATTAAGTGGATCAATAACGACAGATTCTCTCTGATATTTTTATGTTTTGTTGCTTTCAATTTGCTAATCGGGATCAATTCCACCCAAAATGCCAGATCTTTTATGTTTTTGTTTGCGCTCCTTTCTTTTATTTATTCGCGCCGCCACCTTCGATGAACGTGGACGGCCCATACAAAAGTGCTGGATGATCGTGTGCTTTGAGGGAAGGGATGGGGCGATTGTAACGTGAAGAGATCATTGCAATTGAACTATAGATAGACAACATGAAATTAATTAGCTTGCAATTATTTTCCCTATGCAATGATGAATACGGTAATTTAACACATTTAACAGAGATTCAGTTTATTTGCCCATCCTTTCGTTCCGTTCTTGTTCCTTAATCATTCGTTCTACTTTTCGTAAATTAAACGACGTTTGGCATCAATGTGTATATTTTTTTGGCTTTGCGTTTATGAATTCGAAATGACTGTGCAAATACAAAGTGCATATCGCATACGCTCCTAATCAATCCGGGCTGGAATTCTAAGAATTCCACCGAAATCGTTCGGAATTATTTTTTTCGTACATAAGACCATATTGGAGTGAAAGAGAGAGATTCCACTATTTTTCAGCTTCCCACCGGAATTATGCCGATAACTCAAGGAAGAGTGGATTGCAACTCAAGGAACAGTGGATTGTGTGAGAAATAATTTCGGTGGGAAGCTGAAAAATAGTGGAATCTCTCTCTTTCACTCCAATATGGTCTTATGTACGAAAAAAATAATTCCGAACGATTTTGGTGGAATGACTTAGGATTCCAGCCCCGCTTGCGTTTCTCTTTCTTTCTGTTCGTCTTTACCGTATTATAAATTTTCTTCAATCGTTGATTCCACATCAAATCCACATATTGGCTCAATCGTTTAAATACACACACTCACACACAGTTACTAAAACTACAAACATTTTCATTTTTTTTTTTAATTTCCTCAATAATAATTCTTAAAATTCTTCGTGTTCGAGAATAAACATCAATTTAATCAACTAATTTCGGTTAAGAGCTTTCTGAGGTGTGCGCCGTGAGAAATGCGCCAGTATTCGTACAACTTTTGCCAGAGATTTGGATTTCGAAAATTCCATTTTTATTAACAATTTTGGTGCGCGGTTCAAAATTTTGTCATTCTTATGAGACTTTTTGACTTTTTAGCATTCTTTATTGGTGGGGAAAAAAACGTATGGCCATTGAAAATCCGAAATTTGAATCGAAGGCATTCTGACGCAGTTGGGGCATTTCTACAGTAATAGCATGATAATGGTGGCTTTTCATAGAACAAAAAATGCGACCACCTTAAGAGGAAAACATAAATGTTTTCTCACGAATTTGCACATGATAATTTGAACTTTTGGACAGTTTATCGACGTCTCTCAATCGTTTAGCATGACATTTTTTTTGTTTCATCGACTTTTAACAAAAATGTTCCATCATTATTACAAAAATAACGAAAATTTATCAGAAAAATGTAGAAAATTTAAACTAAAAAAATATTGCCTTCACAATTTTCAAAGCAAATTGATTTTTCGGCTTTCACATCGCTCAAGACAACGTTTTATTTCAAAGCAGATCAAAGAATTTTTCCTTCAACTGAATTCAAAATTATAGGTATCATTTACTCAACTAAAAATGGATCTAAAGTATAATTAAATTTCGATTGCATTTCCAAAGTCATTGCTTCACTCAAGCTGCGTCGAAAAGGTTGTTGCCTTCGATTCCTTTTCTTTTCCCATAACAAGACGCCTCACCTATCAATCGTTTGTGTGCAAATAGTTATTATAAATCATTAGTGTTTCCCTACGACATGGAATCTATTGTGCTTTTTTTCGTCTAATCCTTTTGCTTCGTTCGATTGAAACAAAATATGCTTGACTAATTTTTAAAATCTTTTTTGATAGTATTCATGTTGTTGTTGTTGTTTTTTTTCATGGATTTTTGTTCATCATTTCGTATGTCGCCATGAAATCAGCACACAACAATCAATCGTTTGGATCGATGGGAATGATTTGGCATTCAGAAATTTTGCTAAAGAAAATTCGTAGTACAAATCGATCCATCGATCCCGTATGTATGCATTTAAATGTGCTTATCAATAATAATGTGTATTAACTAGAATCCAAACAATTCTCCATCTTTTTCTTCGTTTTATTTTAATTGTTGTTCATTTGTAAATTATGGAAAATAAATTAAAACTGCAGCATTCTAAAGGAGTAGTGAATGGGTCAATTGGTTGATATTACACGATGCGTTTCGGTCATTGTGTCACATTCGGACGATGGTTGTGGTGGCGATGGCGATGGTGGATGATGATGACAACGGCAGTGCACGTGATGCCATTCAGATTAATAAAAAAAACTACGTGACAAACATCGATTTGATTCTTTTCTTCTTCTTTCTTCTTCATCATTTCTTTCGGTTTGGGTGGATCACTGATATATTATGAATGAAATTGAGGGGGAGGATGGTGGATGCAGTGTGAAATAGCTATCTTAATAGGGTAACGCTTGTTGCACACCGTTCACAGTCTTCGATTTTAACACATCGTTCTCGTATTTCAACACTGTCTCCTTACCATTCTCGAAGATCCTGCAAAAGGAAGAAAACGAGATTAGATAAAGTACAGATTAGCCGTAGCACTAGCAATCTGTGCCATTTTTCATAAAATGTATCCTATCGTATTAAATTTGTATTATGAATGTTAAGGTGCGTGCAACGCCCTTCAATGTAAAAACAATAAAAGTGATTACACGAGATTTATCTGTACTTAATGACGTAATCGAAATTTTATTTTCATTTATGGTCAATTTGATAAATGGTTTTTTTGTTGTTGGTGAAGAAATGCAATATTCCAGGCAGCTACTGACAATGAAATGCCGGAATTTGTGAGAAAACCCAAAGGAGAAAAAAAATACTCGTATTAAGAAAAAGTTTGACGTAAACAATTCAAAGTTGGCAAAACATGGAAAATTAATACAAACTAAGTACGATAAGATAATCAAGTGAAAAACAAAATAAGTAAAATGAATTGGAAAGGAAAACTCTTTTAAAATTGGGAAAAAGAAAGAAATTAGTCTTACTTTCTAGTCATGAGCTTTTTGCCGTTGACAAATGTGGTGGAGGTGGATGTTCGCTTCATGTTACTGTTGCCCGGAGCATTGCTAAATGACATTGATGAAATGGATGTGAAACCATTGGATGCAGGAGCTCGACCGAAGAAGTCGTCCATCAATGACACACCCATAAATGGATTCATGAATGATGTCAACAATGTGCTGTTCTGTGGATGTGAATGCCGGTTACCGCCACGTCGTCCATAACCTAAGTCTGTAATTTTGTAAATTGAGAAGAATTTAACATTAGATAAAATCGTTTTTTTTTTGACAATTCGCAACAAAGATTTATATACGAAAGACATTTATATTCGATATTCGCCAAAATTGGCCTTTGAATTACTTTTAAACATCGATAGAATATGATAATGCCTTGAATAATTTTATTGAAATGAAAATAGAAATTCATGGAAAAACCGTTGAAAATCTTGAAATTGCAACCAAAAAATTTACCGTCACCAAAAAGATCGGCAAATGGTGAATTAACGCCGAAAAATTCTCTAAACACTTCATCAGGTGAACGGAATACGAATCCAAAATCGAAATCATCGTAATCGTGGCGGCGAGATCGGTGCGAGCGTTCATTGTGTCCCAGCAATCCTTCTTTTCCGTATTGATCATACACTCGTCGCTTTCTCTCTAAATAGGGATAATCACAAAAAGAAAAACCGAATGGAAAAATTACTATTTGTAATCATTCAATGGTTGATGGGTTGAAAAAAAAAACCGTAATCACAGCACTCAGTTCAAAAGCCATTGTTAAATTGTTTAGCCATAAAATCTCTTGTTATCCACTCGAGACACACAAATACACCAAAAACCAAAACAGGAAAAAAATTCAATAAAGTTATTAAATGTACTATGCAAAAAACTGTCTATTTTGAATATATTCGGAACACTATTAGCATCTGTCAATTTGACAGTGTCAAATTCAAATGTTTGAAATGACCATCATTCCGACTACTCTGTGCCGTTCTTTTGGTTGTATGAACAAACATCTTACGAGAATTTCGATCTACGTATTGGTTTCATTGGAACGTGTGGGTTAGAAAGAAAACGCAAAACTGACACTTCTCTTCCATTTCACAAAACACAACGGACCCATTCGTTACTGTGGCTTGGTGCTGCATTTGTTTACATTGATTCCGTTATGAGAATTTCTGTATCGAAACTGATTAAATATGAATTTCATCACAAAGTGAAATTTGGCGCGTTGAGAAAAGTTTTCAGAAGTACACAGTGAACTGATTTGTGTTTGCGGTATTTATGTCAAAACCAAATTCAGCTTGTCAGACCGATACCGCTTGCATTGATCTGAGCATTTGAAAAGGCAAGTCAATTTTTGTGAATATTGTTCGATTTATAGTAAAAGTTTTTTTTCTTTTTGTTCAAATTAAGTAATTCAGTCAATGTTTTTAGGTCAGCTAAGTTATAGAGGACCTCGAGTACAACAACTTTACCGAAGACACCATGTTGTTATCTCTTCTCAGTTGCGTGGAAACCGTGAAAACCGCGAAAACCGCGGAGGCTAGACGGTACGCCAAGAGAATCATCAGAAAACATACTCGCCTTTTCAAATATATAATTCGAAGAAAAAACATACTCCACTCTCAATTTCACCCATAGATTTGATACAGAATTTTTCCCTATTTAATTTAAAATCTAACATTTTTCTTTTTCAGGTTATGAAAAACACTTAGATGTACTATACAAATGATAGGATTAGAAATATATAAATAAATAAAAAGATCGCGACCTTCATCAATCTTTTCGTTTTCGATTCCGTTCTTATTAGTGGCTTATAACACTTGGGGAGAAAATCAACACTATTCGTTATGACAAAAGTCGAGAGAAAAAACAAAACATCATTGTTGTTATTATTATCATAGGCGAAACAAAGCGAATAGAGAGAACGAAAAATGACTCTCTCACACAAAAAAGAGCAAACTTCTTGCATTGGGAAGTGTGCCAAAAATGGGATGAATATGATGAGCATGAATTGTATTTTTTTTTGCTTTTCAATGATGACAGTTGTAATGATTGACAATTGGTCAGTTTGTCAGTTTTGATTCAGGTTTTCACAACGAAAATCATGGCTCATTTGTAGGCGCATGAAAATGAATTGAAAAATAAAACGAAAATATGAAAAATGGCCTCGATTCAGGAAACAAAATGATCACAAAGGGGATCATAAAATATGCCAAAATGTCCACAGTAAGCGGTATGTAATTGGGTTAGATATTAGCCCTGTTTAAAACACAAAATGTACGATTTGACGCGGTTAGAACGAAACAGAACAGTCTGTTTTCGAGGAAACAAACAAATGTAAAATCGCTGATGTTGCTTATTTCTTTTTTTAAATATTTATAATACCAAAGAATTTATAGAACGGTGTCGGTTCAAAGAGTCCTCGAAATGTGAAGCCACTGTAGCGATTGCCACGTCGATGCGCGGTTGCCGACGAATAATCGTAGTTGTTGTGATGATTATGATGGCTGTAACTATGGCTGTGGTACGAGCTCTTGTTCATACCACGAGTGTCATAAATTTTACGCTTTTTCGCTACATTGACAGAAAAACGTTCGTGTCCGGAACAGAGATAGAGAGAGAGGGAAGAAAAAAAAGAAAGAGAACAAAAATATCGCTGAAAACGTGACCAACTACACACCGAAATTATTCTTTAGAAGTGGCACATTGTGTGAATGTATCCAATTTTTGATGTAAAACAAAAACAAAAACCAAACAAAATCTCCTTGATAACACACACTGTTTCCAAACCGAAAAGAAAGTCTTTCCTTTTTTTCACGCTGAAGTACACTCTGCTTTCCAATGTACTTACTACACCAACGGACACTTGAACTTGTACAGAGATTGTCAAAAAAAGTTCAAAGTTTTATGAGTTCGTGGGAAATTATTCCCGATACTTACCGTCCGATAAGACTTCATACGCTTCGGATATTTCACGGAACTTGCGATTTGCTTCGTCTAAGTTGTCCGGATTTTTATCTGGGTGCCACTTCAATGCCAATTTTCTGTACCTGTACCAAAAATAGCAGAGAGACAACAATAGACAATCAGTTTTGAAACCACGAACAACGTCTCTTCGTCTCTCGGCAGAAATGTGCCGTAACACGATCTTACTCTTAACACGAATAATTTTAGAAGAATCGAATGCAACGTGAATGAAAATAAGTTAAAAAATAAAAAAATCTTACGCTTTTTTAATTTCCGCATCTGTGGATGCTTTGTTCACATCAAGTATTCGATAGTAATCAACCATTTTTGTGTTGCGATTGAATGAAACGGTTTCTTAATCAAAACTCTTAAATGAATGTTGTTCGTCTCGGTGACTATATTTGCTGTTCCTGGAACGAAACAAAAATGATGATAAACGAAATTGATAACTTTGTGAACGACATAGTCGATTTTTTTCTACTTCTTTTTCGTTCAATTTGTGTTGTAGTGACTAAGTTATTCGTTGTAAATGATTATCAAATCAAATTAAAATGAATTTAAAAACGACCCGTATATTGTAAACGAGCTCAAATGGAGAGCAATTATATGATTCATCTTCGTAAAATGGTTTTCGTGCTACCAGTGATTCAAGTTATTGATGCATCATTTAGGGGGATTTCATGATATCACCAATGAGTATTTGTTTCCGAAATTCAGCGGATTGATTCATGGACATTTACTTGTTTTTAGCTTGATTTTACTCTTTTAGCGTATTTCTTGCTTTTTTCAACACTATCTAAGGAATTCTTTTGACATTTCTATAGGTGAGATTGAGAGTAGTGTATGTTTCATTGACTTTGTTACGAAAGAGAAGAGCAAGTTTCTGTCGACTTAAAAATGGTTAAAAGCGAGTATGTTCGTTTTTAGCGGGTCCTCGCGGTTTTTCACGGTTTCTGCGGAACTGATATGAGATAACAACTTAGTGTCTTCGGCAAAGTTGTAGCACTCGAGGTCTTCTATAACATTGCTGAAGTCAGCTATCTCTTATCTCTTATCAGTTCCGCGAAAAGCGCGAAAAATGATAAGAAAAAAAAAAGTTCTATATAAAATTTGCTTTTTTATGTGCGCGATTTGCGCCTAACTCATAAGAGATAAGAGATAGCTGTCTTCAGCTTAGTTATAGAAGATTTCGAGTACTACAACTTTGCCGAAGACACCATGTTGTTATCTTTCATAAGTTGCGCGAAAACCATGAAGACCGCGGAGGCTAGACTGTACTACAACATACTCTACTTTAACGCCAACAGAATCATCAGAAAACATACTCGCCTTTTCAAAAATACAAATCGAAGAAAAAACATACTCCACTCTCAATCTCACCCATAGATTTGTCGATTTCTTACTTTGAAAGTGATTTTCCACTTTCTTTGACTCAACCTTATCTTGTTTTGTTTCTTAACCTTTTTTCCACATTTAGTTTTAACAACTTTTTTTCACGTCTTCATTTTTTAAACTTCTATGGGAAAGGTTTTGCTCTTTTTTGAAAGAATTTTCGACCTTCAACAGACATTTAGATTGTAGACCCTTTTTTCACTTTTAATAAACAAATATATAAACGAGCGCGTCTGTGTAATTGTCCATAAATCATACAAAACTTATTCAAGTCGCATATTCAGTGCAGAATTTTACAGCCAAATTGTATATCACAAGACGCGCATTCCATTTTGGGCAAGTTTAATTGAAACACATTTATCGCATGTTTGATGGAGCAACAGCGCGAAAGAAAAAACAAGCGAATTGATCATGTGTATCTAAACACATCTGCTTGAAAACAGTCAAATGGTCGGCAAAAGTCATTTCGATTTAAGTTGCGATCGCGCGGCGTTTGACTAAAAGACTTTTTTTTCTTTAAGTCACAAAATGCACCTAATGGATTGAATATCGCGAACGTGTGCGCAAGTGTATGTGTATATGTTTTGTGACATTCGTTTCGGGTGCCCAATATATGCGATTGTTTTTTTTTCGCTTGTGTATTGTTGACACTTAAGTCGTGGGCCTTATGATTTGACATCGACAATTATATTTATAAATGCACAAAAATGGCAAATGGATGAGCAAGATTCGGTAAGCCAATTGACGTAATGTCGAGTGTTGTGCTCCAATCGTCCGACACCGACAACAACATCAACATCGAATACACACACAAAACGAGTTCATTTTGTATGTCGACCATTTTCGGTAGGTCGACCACAAAGAGATAGAATGGGCTATTAGATGAGGTTAGAAAAAAAAACGAATAAATATTTAATGTTTTTTCATTTATTTTCATATCCGTGAGTGAATTGATATTCGTTGGTGGTCATGGTTGCGAAATACCACCAACGACATTCTTCGCGCTTTTGATTTTTTCTTTCATTCTCTCTCTCTCTCTCTCTCTCTCTCTCTCTCTCTCTTGATCTCTATCTTTTCGGACAAATTTAATTTTTTTTCTTATTTCGATTGGGATCTGCAAAAAATTTATTGATTTTACATGTATTTCGAACAGAAAAAGATATTTTCTTTGGAATTCTTTCGATTGTAAACACCAACAATTTTCCCTTGCAAGCATCATCTCTTTTCACTGCCATTGACAGTTTCGAACGAGAAATACAAATTCGATTCTATTTTATCCAAAAAAAAAACTTCAAAATAATGGCCGAAATGAAGAATGAACGAATAAAAAACTTAAACGAAACAAGCAAAAAATATTTATCGAGACATTTATCGAACGAACAGATCAGAAATGTTTAATCGATTCATTACCACCCACACCATTGTGCCGCTCCATTCGACAAGGTTACACCAATGCTTTTTTGTGTTGCTGTTGTGTTGTTTTTATGGTTATTCGGTTTGTTATTTATTTAAAGAAACAAAAAATAAGAAGAACATGATGATGACAAAGAGGCCTCACTCTGTCTGCATTTTATACAAATTGTAACTGTTTATCATTTTCGAAGAAGGTTCGCAATTGAATATCTCTTCTCTCTCGTCTCTCTCAGTCCTTCTCCTGTGCGATTCGATGAACGTTCGATGAATTAACGGAACTGAATTCACAGGAATACACTGAACGCACCGTTCGTTCAAGTACATCTTTTGAAGTGGAATTTTCGGCTTAAGGCCGTTTCCAATCGAATTTTATCGGTTTTTGAAAAAAAGCTTTCGATGAAAAAGGCTTTCTGATTAAAAACAAGATGACTTTTTTTTCGCCTGAAAAGAGGTGCTTATCTCAGCCAAAATGATAAATCGTAATGAATGAACCGTATAGCTTTTGAATCGAGCTCAATTGAATGGAGAGTATTCTTGTCATTTCAGGCAAACCGAAAACGAAGACGACATGACAACCAACACACTCTTATTTTTTTCACTTCGAATTATAGCGATGTTTCAATCACAGTCAGAAATGTGCATGTGTCGATGGGTAGTATTTAACTCGTATTTTCAGCCACTCAATCTACCGGTGAATATAAACAACGATTTTTCAACAGTTAAACAACCACGATTTATTTTCCATCGAACACTGAAAATGTTCGCTTTTTGAAATATGTTTCGCATTTTAAAAAATGCGTGTTATTTTATGCAACACTGCATAATTCGCATATTCTCGGCGAATGATATTTTAATTTGTTTGATTTTTCCTTCATGAATTTACGGTTTAGAGTAGTTTTTTTATGTTCATATTTTTCGTGTTGTTTTTTTCTGTTTTTATTATCCTATTTCTCGCACTTTCCGTTCCGCTGTTTCTTTCTCAATTTTCTCTTTCATTCTGTCTGTCGTTTTCTTTCTTTCTCGCTGCCCCGATACTCTCTATCTTTTTACTCGTTCGCCAGAAAACGCGAAACTCTTTCCTCGTTTGCGTTTTTCATTCCATTTTTTTGTTGCAGTTTCTCACGCATTGATTTGCGCCAAAATGGGATAAACTGAGTTCCATGTTATGAAATCGGATTTGAATCAAGAGTTTTGGTGTATACGAGTTGAAGAAAGAAGCAAATAGTACAGCGGTGACCGGTGCCAAATTCGCTGAGGAATGATGTAAATAACATATTTGACACATGGCTTAATTTATGTCACAAGTAGATTGTTTGTCGCGCATCAAGTGACGTAGAGCGTTGGGCGCGAAAATACGTCTACACACATTTAGCGCGCGAAAATATGCTCATTCGCTCTCATTCGCTCTCACTCGCTCTCTCTCTCTTTCGCATTCATTCGCTCCCTTAATCTCCCTTTCTAACCCGTTCACTCGCGCTTGGCTAAGCATAGCATTTGGCTGGCGCGCGCGAGAGAAGAAAAAAACCATTACACGTGTGATCATTAGGCGAATTTTCCTTTCGGGAAAAAAACAAACATTTTTTTCAGGCATGTGATGTATAGTGTCGTGCATTTTCCGGGCAGCTTTAGTTGTTGTTTGTATATGTCCGGGGAAGAAAATGCGGAAAAAAAAATATTTCAATTCCGGTTGTTTTCGAATTGGTGACCAAATTCCACGCGCCACAGATCAAAAATCCAGATGGTCACTTTTTTTGTTTTTCGAAATTGCAGCGGCGCTTTTCTTGGTCGATTTTTCCAATGTGAAAGCGGTATAAAAATATATATATTTATGCTATAAATACCATCCGGCTATTTATATTTTTAGACGCAAACATACAACATGCGAGTACGCTAATGATCGCGGATTTTTCTTTTTCATGTGTGTTGCCAACCGATGTCACTAATTTTGGATGTGATTTGCGGAACATTTTTATTTCAACAAACGACAGGAGCGACAAAAAAAAAAACAAAACACGACGTCGATGTTTAAACAAGTTTCGAAGAGAATGTGTGTGATAGCAAAAGCAAAAAGGGTTTTCTGAAGTTCGGCCGTTTTGAATGACACTCGGACACAGAATGCCATTAAATTATAACATATTTCAAGTTCATGCGAACATTCCATGTTTCTTCACGCGATAAAGTCGCCCGTATACAAGTACACACACACACAAACACACACCGGCTACGGCTAATTTATGCAAATTTTAACGTTGTTTAATTCGGTTTTATTCGTTTTTTTCACTTGTGAAACGGTGATTCAATTTCGAATATATTGTTTATTTTGTTTTGGTTTTTTGCCACAGAGAAAGTGTAGCGAATTGAATTTAAATCGCGTTGTAAAAGGAATTTCCAAATGTATGGAGAGAGAGAGAGAGATAGATAGAGAGAGAGAGAGAGAAAGATCACCGAGGGGCATGATTGCAATGTCGAAAGCACATGCTTGCACAAACAAAGCCATTTCAGATAGTTTAATTTTCATTCAAGCAAAAATAAATCAATTCGTACTTGGGGAAAATTGGCATTTTGTGTATGTTGTCAACAATCTATGGAGATAGTTGAACTATGG